TTAAACGCATGCATTTTTAACCTCATTCTTAGATGCCCCTCTCACAACTGGTGGCTGGAACTGGTACACTTTAAGGCGGGAATTTGAGCTTATACATAAACAGAGGTCAACACATCCATCGTAACCATGGTGACAGTGCATGATGACCAGACTTCAGCTTGTACAGGCGATTTTCAAAAATTCCTCAGTGATGCAACATGCACCCGCTGTGTTGATGATTACACTGCACAAAACTAAACGATTTTTGTTTACATGTACAATGTATGTATATTTTGGTGTGAATTGATTGTGTGTATACTGATGGGCGCTGTAAAGGATTTTCCTATGAGCGAAATGCATAAGATCTGTTAGACAAAAAGCTAGGGGGATGGGGTCTTTTCTTGAAAAGATTTCTAAAAAAAAAAAAAAATTAATCATTTTCTGTTTATCAAAATGTATATTTTTCATGATAAGTAACGAATTGCGCACTTTCTGGGTCCTCAAGTACTTTAGCTATGAAAGGGATGACTTAAAAAATATTTTTTATGCAAACTGATATACCAGTAAATAAGGATATACTGACTAAAAAGAAAATACATTGAGAGAGAGAGAGAGGGAGAGAGTCCCATAAGCAAATCAAAATCTTAGATTTGACAAAAGGTTAGCTTATTGTTTTTTAGAAGAATGTTGCTCTTTTTTTGTAAACATAGATAGTATTTAATAATTTCGGTACTATTGCGGTTTCGTCTGAAAAAAAGATGATAATTATCTGATATCTTGGCGTCAGCCAGTACTAGATAGATGTAGTTAACATGCCCGTAGGAAGCAATTTCACTTTGAGGGGGCACAACCATACATTTTCAGATGGGGGGGGGGCACTATTAACTACCAAAATTCCTTGACAAGCAAAAAAAGAAAGGTCATCAGACGTCATTATTGAGGGGACACAAGCATATACTAGCTTATTTTCTATAGTATTCTATATATCGGCAAAATTATGCCCCCCCCCCACCCCCACCCGGTTCCTACGGCCATGGTTAAGGTTTGTTGTACATTCTTATGATAACTCACCTTGGATATTTTACAGAGCACAAATATTAATGAGAACTCCGAACATGCTTAACACCCGATCAAGATCAGAGCTTAGGCATTAAAATAAACTTATATTGATATCATTATTGTCGCATTATAGTTTATATAACTCGCGAACAAAAGCAATTTGAATACGTTATAGAAGTGAAAAGTAGATGTACATTCATTTTGCAAAGACTTGAGCTCATTTTCAATAATTAATTTATTTTTAATCTTGATAATAAGGAAGACATTTTATCCGTTCAAGTATGTGCTAAAACTTTTTTTTGGGTCAAGTATCGGTCATTCCCATGCTTAAACAAGAAATATATATAGAAACAATACGGGTATATCTTGTTCTCAGATTTAATATTGATTTATGATGAAGCCGAGTTTAACTTTATTTATAGGAATTAATTTGTTCATGTCAGACAAGCATTTTAGGAAAGCTAATACCAGGGCATATATTTGTAGAACGTACACTGCACGATTTATAGGACATACTAGTTGATATTGTTTTGTCATGATGCTTTCGACATATCAACGTAACTAGAATAAAGACCAAAGAAAAAAAATAAATAAAAAAATAAAAACAGAGAGAGAGAGAGAGAGAGAGAGAGAGAGAGAATTCAATTAGCCTCCAAAATTCACAATAGACATAAACTTCCATTTTATTATTCAGTCGATATTGCTGCCATTTATTTCTGAAAATAATAGTTCTGACTAAGTGAAACGTAAATTGTATTATGAAATTTATTTTGTTTAGCTTTCCTGGCAACATACAACGTGAATTTGCAAAATTTGAAATGCATTTAATTTAACACTAAATCTTTGTAACATTTAACGAAATCGTGCTTGGTTTGAAGGGCTTAATATCAGGGAAATTTTGTAGTCTTTGAACAGTACTTTGTGTGTTTTTCAAGATGGACTCTCGCCATCTCGTCACCGACTCTTTGCATTTACATTAGCTTTATTCCAATGAACGTTGTACTTACGTCATTCAAAGGGAGATCATTTGAGTACACCAAGAGTTACCTTATGCAAATTTCACAAGATAACTGCTAAGCATTTGAGAGATAAGTATAAATTGAAGATTTCTGGAGGGAGGTGGTGGGCTAATATTTCTGCTTGTTTCAGGCAATAAAGGCACGTGAACCAGGCAATAAAGGCACGTGAACCAACCTGCTTCATGTATCTGCACATGCATGTACATGCATTGTACTGCATATGCAAGCTGTGAACCTTATGCTTGATCAAATAAATCACTCGTATTCTAAGGGAAGTATTTTGATATAGTGGGGTTTTTTTAAAATAAATTTTTACCTCCGATTTTTGAATCTTAATATATTTTTTATTCTTGAAACTAATGTCTTGTCTGCATAAATCAGAGTTGTGACTGTGTTAATTTTGTAGGATCCAAATAGTAAGAAAACATATTCTTTGCAATGATTAAGAATGCATTTTTCGTACGAATTAAGATATGGCAATTACAAGGATGTGACTAAAAAGGCACATGCTCAATGTTAAATTAAAAACGATACAAAACTTTTCTTATCTGTTGTGAAGAATATCATACAAAGTCATTGTTGCAGTCTTTGAAAAGTAACTGTTTTGTGAGTTGAACTCTAGTCATCACGTGACCAGAAACCGTTCTCGCTGTCAATCCGAAGCGTGAAAACTCTAACGGGCTTTGTGAATTTATGTAGATAAATGTTTTTCATGAAAACTGTCATAAGATTGCATTTTTACATTCATCATAGATACATTACTACGCATTGCCGTTACAAGATCAATAAAGAACCCCCAATTACTTTTTTTATAATAAAATTTATGAAATTTATCTACGATGTATCAGACTGCGTGAAATTCGTAATCCTGACAAAAAGCTCATGCGTAAATAATTGTGAGGCCTAAATAATTGTGAAATCCAGATATTATTTTAACCACATAAGACACAAACCAAAGCCAAATAAAAATCTTCAAATCCCAAGACACCACTGCTGCATAATACTTGTTTAACATACCAATGAAGATCACTTGATATTTCTAATGTTCATTCGACAGCAATTGATTTTCAATTGTGTGCAGGTATACTTTAATTCTTTTGGTGCATGCAAAATTTCAAGCATGAAATCAGAGAGAGAGAGAGAAAGAAAGAGAGAGAGAGAATTCAATTAGCCTCCAAAATTCACAATAGACATAAACTTCCATTTTTATTATTCAGTCGATTTTGATGCCATTCATTTCTGAAAATAACAGTTCTGACTAAGTGAAACGTAAATTGTATTATGAAATTTATTTTGTTTAGCTTTCCTGGCAATATACTACGTGAATTTGTAAAATTTGAAATGCATTTAATTTAACACTAAATCTTTGTAACATTTAACGAAATCGAGCTTCTTTTGAAGGGCTTAATATCGTGCTTGTTTTGAAGGGCTTAATATCAGGGAAATTTTGTAGTCTTTGAACAGTGCTTTGTGTGTTTTTCAAGATGAACTCTCGCCATCTCGTCACCGACTCTTTGCATTTACATTAGCTTTATTCCAATGAACGTTGTACTTACGTCGTTCAAAGGGAGATCATTTGAGTACATCCAGAGTTACCTTATGCAAATTTCAAAAGATAACTGCTAAGCATTTGAGAGATAAGTATAAATTGAAGATTTCTGGAGCGTGGTGGTGGGCTAATATTTCTGCTTGTTTGAGGCTTGTTTGAGAGGCAATAAAGGCACGTGAACCAACCTGCTTCATGTATCTGCAACATGCATGTACATGCATTGTACTGCATATGCAAGCTGTGAACCTTATGCTTGATCAAATAAATCGCTCGTATTGTAAGGGAAATATATTGATATAGTGTTTTTTTAAATAAATTTTTACCTCCGATTTTTGAATCTTAATATATTTTTGTTCTTGAAACTAATGTCTTGTCTGCATAAATCAGAGTTGTGACTGTGTTAATTTTGTAGGATCCAAATAGTAAGAAAACTTATTCTTTGCAATGATTAAGAATGCATTTTTCGTACGAATTAAGATATGGCAATTACAAAGATGTGACTAAAAAGGCACATGCTCATTGTTGAATTAAAAACGATACAAAACTTTTCTTATCTGTTGTGAAGAATATAATTCAAAGTCATTGTTGCAGTCTTTGAAAAGTAACCGTTTTGTGAGTTGAACTCTAGTCATCACGTGACCAGAAACCGTTCTCGCTGTCAATCCAAAGCCTAAAAACTCTAACGGGCTTTGTGAACTTATGTAGATAAATGTTTTTCATGAAAACTGTCATAAGATTGCATTTTTACATTCATCATAGATACATTACTACGCATTGCCGTTACAAGATCAATAAAGAACCCCCAATTACTTTTTTTATAATAAAATTTATGAAATTTATCTACGATGTATCAGACTGCGTGAAATTCGTAATCCTGACAAAAAGCTCATGCGTAAATAATTGTGAGGCCTAAATAATTGTGAAATCCAGATATTATTTTAACCACATAAGACACAAACCAAAGCCAAATAAAAATCTTCAAATCCCAAAACACCACGTACTGCTGCATAATACTTGTTCAACATACCAATGAAGATCACTTGATATTTCTAATGTTCATTCGAGAGCAATTGATTTTCAATTGTGTGCAGGTATACTTTAATTCCTTTGGTGCAAAGCAAAATTTCAAGCATGAAATCAGAGAGAGAGAGAGAGAAAGAGAGAGACAGAGTGAGTGAGTAAATTCTATTAAGTGTATTTTTATATTTGTTTCCTCCAAATCTCCAAGAATACTTAAAATATGATATGAATTTTTTATATTTATTCTTAGATTATTTGTTAAAACACTTGGACTATTGGTCTGATATATCAAGTATAGTAGAAAATACAAAATAATCATTAGATATATGAAGCACAATATTTATTCCATTCATAAAACAATTTTGCATAGAAAATTGTAAACATGTATAAGTATATAAAAAATATGTGACAATAAAAATCTGTTTGTAGGAAAAGTCAATATCTATAATAAAATAAATTCGGACTGTGACAAATGTTTAATCTAACACCACAACAAAGACCTAAACCCTGCACGAGGCATGGTAAAATTATAAAATGTATACATGTACTTCCGGAAGCACTAAAACAGTAACACATATATTTAGCGATGAACGTTTACTTGTTGACCTAAAACAAAACAAAAACAAAAACAAAAAACAAAAAAAACCCCACAAAACACACACACAGACAAACAAAAAAAAAACCCGAATAATTAAACAAACTGCGTATCGGCCTGACCCAGGTGATGTAAATGAAAGATGAACAAAATTTGAATTTAGTCCTGACAAATGGAAATTCAGTTCAGCATTTGATCAAGAAAATTATTCAACGCTGCTCAAATATTGAATATCGCTAAAAAATACTCGTAAGAATTTCAGAACATATGCAACAACATGTACTGCTCATAAGTAACAAATGGAACTAGTCTATCTAGAAATACAATTAACACATACACACAAAACAAACAAACAAAAATCATTGTTTTGCATGGGGGATGAAAATGCAATTGTCGACGAGGGTAGCGTACCCCACTACTCCGTCCCTTACAATTTCACCAGTTACTTTTATATACTGGAAGGCAAGCTTACATATGAGACAACAGAAAAGAAGAAATCCATGCATATTCTTCAAATAAACTCTTTAAAACCTGGGCGCAAAACCCACTGTTTGCCTCATGGATACTCTGTGAGCAAACTGAAACTTTTTACATATATATGCATACTTAAACTATTTACAGGATGAAAATAAAAGTATAGCTAGCATGTTTCAGGATGATATTCATGGATTTCCAACATTGTAAAATCTTGAATGTCGCCTTATCATGGTAAAAATTTACAGTTTGGTTGATAGGTCGGTATCAATATGTGGCGTGTAACCGTTTGTAACGTCTTTCTTTTCTGACAAATCTATTTGTGAAATCTCTAACGCCATGTTGTGATTTCCTTCGTGCTGTAGCTTCTCATCCTGGGTTGTATGGAACTGTGAAATAAATTCCTCCTGAAAATTTGTAAAAACATTCAGTTAGGTTTAAAAAAAAAATATGCATGTACCTATCATCTCCGTACAACGGTCAAAATGTGGCTTGAGAGGATGAATACCTATTAGAGAATTTTTATTCTCGACTTATCATTTTAAAGGAGAAGGAGAGGAAGAAAATAAACCTAAACACGATCCAGATCTTTCAATATTTTTTCTTCGTATTTGATAATTTCATGGATAAGTACAGCTGCATCTACCCTGGTAGTATACATTTACACCCTCATTTTATGCTCAAAATTATTTTCAAACATATTAAAAGCCAAGAAAAAAACTGTCAACAAGTTCTATTTCAGTTTTATGTCAAAGTTTTACATATACTTACATCACCATGCCTGACGCCACATCTCATTTTACGACGGAAAGACTCTGGTAAAAATGGCATAAAAACATCAAAAAAGGGACAGATAACTCTAGGATCAATCTCTGACATTCTTTTGTGACCACCTGAAAAAAAAAATTCAGACAAAAATGACAGGTTGTTCAAGGCAATGATAAAACATTTTATTGATAAACTTGTGTAGGAAAAAAAAAGAAAACTTTATTGAAAGTTTTTGAAATTACATGTACTACTCTGGCACTATTTTCATTGCAAGAAAAGTCCATAAAAATAAAAGTCGAGCCTCGTTAATCCGAACGCCAGTAATCCGGACAGTTCATCTCCTACACGAAATTTATGGGAATCAAAATTAAAATTTAGATCTACCAATTATAAAAGATACTTTTCAGTAATCAGACGAATTGCTTGGGAACACAGACGTCCGTATCAGCGAGTCTCGATTGTATTTGAATGCGGATGATGACTGGGGGTTGAATTAAATTTAGACAAACCTGTTATAAGACTGACAATACTGCCTATAATAAGAACAGTTATAACCGCTAGTCCTGTGTACCAAATATAAGACATCCGGTAAAGCAGAAAGTAGTCCCTGCCAATACAAACAAGAACCAGTAATATAGGAAACATTTTTAGATCGCAAAACTAATGATGACATCATATCAACAAAATATTTCACAAATTATACAGTGTTAGTAATTTCATAGTTTCCTTCTATTAAACCTTTAAACTAAACTGTGAATAAAAGATAAAATATTTTAATGCTTAAAACTGTGATTCAAAGACGTGTTTTTTGGAGTGGGGGATGGAGATGGGAGTCAAAATATGCTCACTCGGGTGGTTCCGGCACAGCCGGAGTGGTGCTTGCAATCGCAGCGGAAGTGGTTGGGGCGAGGGTGGTGGCCACTCCCCTTAGAGCATTAATGGCTGTCATGTTGCATCCTGCGGTTGTCAGAGGTGACTTAGGGGTAACGACCACATTATTCAAAGAAGTTCCAAGGCCAATCCACGCAACAAATGCCAGAGATGTCACAATGCCGACGGTTCCTCCCTGTGATCAATTTTAAAGGAAAATATAAAATTATTATTTTTACAAAAAATCAACGTAAACACAAAATATAGTTTCAAACATAAGAATAAATTAAAAAAAAATGCCTACTTTGATTAAAAAGAAAACATACTTATTTTCAGGGATGCAAAACAGTTACATTACTTGTTTCAGAAAGCAAGTCATGAAAACATTTTAACAACCTTGTACTAGTAAAATATTGTCAAGTTGACATTTCCATTGGTAAACCGTTAACGAATTTAGCACCCTTCTAACGCGAGATCTAGGGACATCACCAGTGTGTTAAGTATTCAAACTTCAATCAATAAAGGACAATTTCATACCCATGCGTTTCCCCAAGGGCACAACATTCCGAAGGTAAACAGACCCAAAAGTGGGCCACCTAGGATACCAAACAGGACGTACGCCAACTGTGTAAAGAAAAAAAACAAAATACAAACTCTCTGCAGTGTGTAAAAAAAAAGTTGCAAAATTCAGAATTCATTACTTTTTTACTTTTAACTGGTAACATGATGATATTTTATCATTTACTGCAATCTGGAAAGACCGGTTTTTTTTAAGAATTCGAAGATAAGTAGTTTCAATCAAAGCCTCTATAAATAGTAAAAAAAAAAAAAAAAAAAAAAAAAAAGCAAGAACTTCTCACAAACTTCACACAAGAATCACAAATGATTCGATAGTTTTTTCAAATATGTTTGTAAAATCTCTTTACTTTCAGTTCGCAAGTGTCCTATGCTGAATACACAAAAATCATAATTGTTTTTGCAGTTACACCGACTAGCAAGCCACATGCATGTTTATTATATTAGTATATTATTAACATGTTTGTTGAGTAGAAAATAAATTTTTATTTTCATTTTTTAAATAGGTAAATTTTTCAAATACGAGTATAGTACATAAACCTCGCTCTTTTGGCAAATCCTTCATAGTTCAATTATAGTTTTATCTTAAGATCGCCTTTTAAGTTTATGCGCAAGATTCCATGCTAAACGTTTTTAAAATACATATACATGTATACACCATTGCTTAAAAAAATTATTTAAAGCTTTTTCTGTGTTTAATTCGTTTAAATATTGTAATGAAAAAAGAAATAAAGTACATATGCTTTACAACTGTACCAGTTTGTCCGTTTTGTTTCCATTGTACAGTGTGCACATGTATAAGTATTTAACATACCTCTATATCATGAATTCTTATTTTGCATAGTAAAATATTATACTTTGATAAAAAAAAAAAATAATCCTCATACATTTACATAAAAAATGACAAAAAGATAAATAAATACCTGTAGAATTGCACCAAGCTCTGAGACGAAATACGCTAACGCCAGACAAACTAGACCACAACCAACCACTATTTAAAAACATCGAAGTCAATAGCTATACATTGTCATTCAGACATTAAAAATCATCTAACTGTACTCCGTAAATTTTAACATAAAATATTGGATCCCAAACAAAGCTTAAAGTATAGATCTACCTGCAGAGTATAATATTAGAAACATTGATTTCTAAAAGTTTTTAATATAAGAAAATCAACTACAGCTATATAAGAATGATAGTAGAATAAGCAGAAATGTATAAAAAAAAAAATTAATATGGTTTACCTGTTGCTTTAGAGAATATGGTAGCTGCATAACCCGAGATTTTCTTACAAAAGTATGGCTTGACAAAATCCTCTAGTAGGACTGCGGCTACAGCATTGAGTCCAGAGGAAATAGTGCTAATGGGAACACAAAATTAAGGCACACTGAAAAATTGCACGATTTATTTTTTTCTCTTCAGAAATTGTTATGTGTTATTCATTTACAACTATAAAATGATACCTTAAACTTCCGCTAAAGACACACGACAAGACTAATCCTGGTAATCCGTGCAAATGTCCCAACAAATCCATAGTAAACAAGGGAATCAACTTAAAAAAAACAGAACATTTTATTTTAATTCAATATAGAATACAGAGCTTAATTTTCTGAACAATATCATTCCACTCACTTGGTCCGTTTTCTTGATAACTTCAATACTGACAGGGTCGCATGTGGAATAAAATGCATACATAACTACTCCAACAGAACAGACAAGGGACAGAATCACAAACATCCCGGGAAAGTTCAGCCATATTGCTCTGTAACACAAAAGTCTAATAATGGACACGAGAAACGTAATTCTGAATAGACACATGCAGTTGTTTGGTTTTTTTTTCTTGACATAATTTTGGTACAAACATGTTTATGAGCTTTTCATGTTTTTAATGTGTTTTGCTATTAAGTTCCACCTGTCATTATCAAATTTTAATTTTATATTCAAACTGGACATTGACATTTGCCACCGCGGCCATATGTGTGAGCAACACAGACCTGAAAATCTTGAAAAAATATTAAATGAAAAATTGTTCTCTAATCTCTAAAACAACGAATCCCTCAAAGAAAAATGATCGATCCACCCCAAGAAAATTCATAGAAATTGTCAAACTCCTGTCTGTTCAAAGTATTTTGTTACAGATCACAATTGTCATCAAGTTTTCATTTCTTGAGAGTGTTTAAAAAGACCAAAAAAAAAAAATTAGAGTCACTGTGAGCAGTGAGCTCACAAATGATACCTCCAGCTCCCGTAAGAGTATAATGGCAAACTGTAATGTAGGGAACGCAAGCGAAATAAACCGGACGTTTACCTCCATCACTAAATACCCCCCCCCCCCACCTCCATCACTAAATACCCCCCCCCCCCCCCACACACACACTTTTCAACCGGCAGATATAGCCACTCCATCCCCCTAACTCTATGGAAGGAGAACGCAACAACAAAGAAATTGCTCAAACAAGATAATTCATAAAGGACCAAGACTGAACACAATGCTGTTAGACAACAATGTCAACTGATAACCAGATAGAATGGCAGATGAAAAACTACATCTCATATCTTCTCAAATGAAAAAAAAATGATTATAAGGGTGAAACCAAGAGAATATTTGGTATTTAGTGAAGAGAATGAAGTTATCTTGCCCAAGCTTACAAAGGAATCTATCAGCAAAGATAAGAAAGAAAGGCAATTAAGAAAGTCAAAGTAAACACAGCAACTTAGGTATTTCACATTTTGTCACAAAAGAAAAGGAAGTTAATAAACTGGCCTCATTAATTCTGTCTCCCTAGCAATTGGGAAACTTACAGAATAGGCTAGTTCGTGATTGTGAAAGGTATATTACACACTAAATTGTTCAACTGACACTTTATGAAAATAACCTTGAACAGTGTATCAATAGGTTTACATATATATATCATTTCAAGCTACTGGGGTAGAACCTCTTTACACATACAAAAGGGCCTTTGAAGTATTTTTTATGCTGCTATATTGCTCCCGAATGCGTATGAGTCGAAAAAAAATCAAAAGTTCATGAGTAAAAATTTTTAATATAAAGAAAGCATGTTTAAATTAATTTTGGATTGAAAATTGAAATTGAAAATGATGATTGATAGACGTGTATAAAGGAAGATGTTAATAAGTGTATGACTTACGTTCTGGCATGCTTCACTGATGGCACAGATATGGCCCGCTGAACCTGGGCTTGGTTGATTCCGTAAATCGCCATCCAAAAGAACCCGCCACCTACGACTACATTCCACGTGGTGTGTCGTACAGAGGGGTCAGGATCGAATCTACAAAGACAGATGGAGGTGTTTTTACTTTTTTGCCTTTATTTATCACGTCCTGTAGCAGAAATGTGAAAATATTATCTGTCTAACAACATTGAAAGAAATCTGTTTACTGGAAATAAATAAAATAGCGTCATTTCAGATGAGAGAGGAAAAAATTCAAATACTCTTCTTTTTGTATTGAATTTGTAAGACCAGTTTTTGATGTGAAATAAAACCATATCTTTATACGTTAGTTCTAAAAAAATTTGATGTGGTTATATCAACAAGTTTAGTTCATGTCAGTTGTTGTTCCAGTGAGCCATCATAAAAAAATATCAATCATTAACTGTTGAAACTGAAAAATTAAATGGAACTAAACTGAAAACATTTCTTTTCCAAAAATGGGCATGTAATAATCCCAGTTATTATATATTGCGTTTTAAAAATATCCGAATGCAAAATATTTTTAGTGCAAGACGTTTATTTCTATTTGTGTGACAAGCCATCAATAACCCGATGATTTAGTATACATGTACTTAATTTCATCCCCAAATATAAATTTGGGGTTTTCCAAATAAAAAAAAAAGAGGTCAGAAACACACCTTAGTGCAATGATGAATTTCTGATTTAGTATACATGTACTGAATTTCATCCCCAAATATAAATTTGGGTTTTTCCAAATAAAAAAAAAGAGGTCAGAAATACACCTTAGTGCAATGATGAATTTCTTCTGTCATTCCCTATTTTAATCATACATCGTTTTTTTTAAGAGCGCTTATATAAGCTAAAGTTGCAACCAACGTTCGAATAGCCGAGGGTATTTTCCTGGGGGACAGCCTCAGCGAAACGGATATAAAATTTCAGGTACATATAGCCGAGGGTGTTCTGCCGTAGAACGGCCGGAGATTTCGCGAGGACTAAATATCCAATAACGTCTTTTAAAGTTAAGAAAACATATCTGATAAGTCAAATGATTTTCTCGTGAAATACATATGGACGTCATGCTTATTAGAAAAATTGTTTACATATCTCGTATAAGATTAAATTTTCGCAGAAAAAATGCATATTAGATAATCCACAAAAACTTCTTGATGACAGGTATATTAATTTTTTTCAGATCTGGATCTTTTTTCTTACACTAAGCTACGCTAAACAAATTCAATCGATTCAAACACTATGTTAGATACAAATATATATATTACATAACCAAATATAGAGAGAAAAAAATACACAAGAATACGGTACCGCTTTCGTAAAACTATAATATACTCTAAAATAACAGTTACTGATTTTATAATTAATATGTCATAGGGTACTTAACGTAATCTCGACAATACGTTACAGCCGTTTTCATAATTTCTCACATCTAGTCCGTTATGTACTTTTAAAATCGTAATCATTTAGAAAAAAAAAATCTACGAGAAATCAAAGAGAATATATAGTGAAATAAAATAAAAAATACTCATATTTTACGTTTTGGTTGTAAAAAACGGTTTTATTACGTTACGGTGTCCTTCAGGATATCACCCACAGCTGTATGAATCCGGAATTTTATAATCCTTTTATTACGTTACGGTCGTGTGACCTAGAAGTGCCCCGACATCATTTATAGAGCGTATAAAATCTGATATATAAATTAAGGTAATATCCAAATCGGTAAATCAACAGTTATTATTATTCGAATTACATTGTTGTTTTTAAGATATATACGACACGATTCAAATATTTTTTTAAAAATACAACTTTCTACCATATGTATAAAGTTTTTGAACAATGTTTCAAATGTCTCTTCCAGAAAGTAAACCTCATGGTTCATGATACTGACTCAAAGAAAAGTATCCTCTGGTTTCTTTCGGCAATGTCCCACGCAACATCAAGCCCGCCAAGCTTCATACTTCCGGAAATCAACAAAGCCAGCATCCCAGCGAACATAACCAACATTTGGAACGAATCTGTCCAGACGACAGCCTTCATACCTCCCTACAACAACGAAAGCAATTCACAAAATTGTCAAAACCACGACCTAAAACAGCAGATACATAAAATTCATAAAATAACCAGGGTATTTCACGATTCTCATTTAATTCAAAAAATATATATATGGTCTATGATTCTCTGGCATTAAAATGCTAATCACGTACTATGGGAATATCTTGTTATATCCCGGTAATCGAAGATTCGAGGGCGTATAGTTTTTGGTCTGACTGCCTTTTTGTTTGTCCAGCAAAACTAACGTTGGCTGTAGTTTCTGAACGGCTGGTGCTTGGGCTTTCATATTTCACATGTGTATTTCTTGTGACAGGACCTTTCTTTGAGTATGAACAGTTTTGATCTCATGACCTTGACCTTAAAGTTTGATCTCCTTTTTTCAAAAAAAAACAAAACTTTAACCTTGGCCATAACTTTTGAACGATTAGTACTAAGGCTTTCTTATTTCTCAGGGTAACCTTTCTTTGGATAGCAACATTTTTAACCTCATGACCTTGGAGTTTAAGGCGCCCTTGAAAAACTGTAACCTTGGTCATGAGTTGTCATAGCGAGGCAGTAGTGTTTCAGAAACTCATCTTGCTTACTCAGTGCAATCCTAATGCATTTATAAAAACTTACCAGGGTAGTGTAGAAAATACAGACGAATCCAACCGCAATTATGGAACCCCATAATGACAATCCTGTCACTGAAATCAAAATGAAAAAAACCCCATAATATTGCGATTATTTAAAACAATACAAAGTTAAACACATGACCAGAATCACTATGCGAATCACTTTGTGGTTCACTCACCTGCATTGAGAGCTAAGGATGGGCCGTAGAGCACAACTGCCATATATAGCAACTGGAAAAAAAATGTCAAAATTGAAAACAAAAAAAAGTAAACAAGATGAACATGCATCTGAATTTTTATGGTGTCTTGATACGAGAAGTTCAAGAGTATAGTCTGATTTTTTTTTAATTTTTAAAACAGTTATTTCATCAAAATCTGTGGATTACATGCACAACTGATTAACACATAAACTATAACATACAATGTGTGAATTAGACGGTAATACCCTAAAATTAAGATTGTCTTCAGCAACAAAACCAATACTTAGCCTTACCATCCAAAGGAGGTAGATAATGGACCCAATCACTCGACACACGTGGCCAAAGCGTAACTCTATATACTGTAAAATAACAAAAAAAATCAGATGTCTTATATATATATATATATATATATATATATATGATGCTGAATTTTGCCTAATTTTTACGATTAGCTAAATATATTTCGTAGTAAAATTTACAGTTTTTTGCTCCATTTCCTTATTTGATTAATAGAAGGAAAACGTAAAGGTTAAAAAGTTGGGGTATTTTTACACTGGGATTTCAATATTTTATGAAGGGGAGAACGTAGCGCACATTATTTTGTACGTACAAGGATATGTTGAATAAAAAATACCAGTTATATGCAGTTCTGTGCCACTGTGTATAAGCAGCGAATTTACAAATCCATTCAAATGTGAAAATCGTGAGGCTTTGTCAATGGGTATCTGTTAGAATTTTTCATGTATACTCAAATGGAATATTTCTGTTTACATTGGTTTGAATTTACAGACACTCGTATAGGGTTTCAGAGAATAAAACTTGTCTAAAGTGTATGCAGGTTCTTGTGAATTGCACTCAAATACATTGATTATGAAAAAATTTAATACAAAAAAATTACATGTATATCAGTTGCTTCCTAAAAAAAAATGTCTTTTCTCAGCAGCAGTTGTTTATATATTATATAAGCCTAGTTCATATGCGCACATTTTACTCACATGTGTAAATTTTACATATATGACAATTTTACTGCTGGGATGTTGGTATGTAAATGTAATTTTTGCGATGCGTTCACATGCACTAGCAAACTCTGTATAAATCACTATTAGTAATAATGAGGCAATTTTCAAATACTAAGCGTATATTTGTTTTAGGATTTTAATTCTTACTCTTACACTGTATATACTAGTAGTCAAATTCTTGTTCTTTCTATGTAACAAAAGAATATTTGTTTTTCAAGCATCCATGCAGTACCCCTTTTCCAACATGGGCTCGTCACGATCTCTTTGTCTTCCTACATTTTGACCACCCCCGGACTACAATGTAGTATTTAATAGTGTTAGGGGTAGTCAACAAGTAGGAAAAATAGATCGTGACGAGCCCCTGTGTTTTCATGGCCATTTCAAATGTTACTTAAAAAAAACAAAACTTATTAATCAAATCGTTTGCAGTCAAATTTAAAAGGTGATTCGGAATACTCTAAATGACTATATTTGAATTTATTGACACAACATGTCACTGTTCTTTCTAGTATAGGATATAAATCATATAATGCACATGTCAGGGAAATGATGCAATATTTCATTGACAATTTCAATATCTGCGAAAGTGAGTAAAATTTGCTAAGCCTTCACTTGGCGAAATACACCAGGAGTAAATAAAGTTAATTTGCATCTAGTCTGATTAGATGTAAATTTTATACTATAGGAGTAAAAATACTCTTATGCAAATCTTGCTTCCCTCAACTCCCCGGTTCACATGCGCCAAAATACGCCCGTGTGCAAAATTTATGTACATGTAAAATATTAATGTCTATACATGTACTATATTATGTTCTGCTGTAGTCTATTGTCAATTCGGTGGACATATTCGTCGTATTATATATATATATGTGTGTGTGTGAGAGAGAGAGAGGGTGTGTGTGAGGGTGTGTGTGTGTGTGTGTTAAATTTAGCTCTTACAATACTGGAGTATATGTTAAAAAATGCGCCCCTTTCTCATCTCTCTACAGTCCCGTTCAAATGTGCCCATTTGTAAACACACGGTGTGCTTCTGACAATGTACAGTATGAAAAATATAAACTGCTTTGCTCTTCCAAATGTAATTTATTTTGTGTTCATAAAGGGTATGTGTGACGGTACATATTGTCGTTTTGTACATATTGTCATCGGCGACAATATGTACCCACCCTCACCGCACATATTGTCGTCCATCGGTACATATTGTCGCCGGCGACAATATGTACCGAGACACCAGCCTTATTTTCCTCCTGCATAATGGACGACAAAATGTACAGTCAAGCACAAGTACATATTGTCGTCGGCGACAATATGTACAGTCAAGGTCGGCATATATTGTCGTCGATATATTGTTTTGACAAATATTTACTTGAGAAAGGAAAGAGAGATTGACAAACACACTCACACGCACGGAGGGAGACAGACAGAATTACTCGCAATACTGAAGGGAAAAAGTTTTTTGGTCAGAAAATTGTGTCCAGAACTGATGTACATCACTATGAAATGCCAAGATTACATAATTCTTGAGATATCTGATAAATCAGCCTTTTTTTTCCCTGTAATACATAGTTGGAGATTGAATACATGTATTAGTTATTTTGTTCAGTAATAATGATTATTTAGAAATAATTTTTGCGTTATTCTTAAATACAATCATGTGCCGATATATTTGGTGTTGGGGTAGACATTTTTAGATCACCTGAACCGGAAGTTCAAGTGACCACATTTTGTCTGACCGTCCCTCTGTCTGTAAATTTTTCTTCAATTTCTGCTTCTCAAGAACTACTAGGTCAATTTCAGGCAAACCTGCCACAAAGGATCCGTGGATAAAGGGGATTCAATTTTGTTCAAGGGTAAAGGATTCTTTCAAGGGAAGTAGTTAAGAATAATGAAAATTTAGTGACATCTTTTAAAAATCTTCTCAAGAACCACTGTCTCAGGAAAGTTCAAACTTATGTGAAAGCTTCATTATGAAGTGTAGATTCAGTTTTATTCAGATCATGTCCCTCGGGGGAAAGGTGTGTCTACAATAGGTGATCAAAGTTTTTCATTAAATATTTAGAAAAAAAATCATTTTTTTTCAAGAAGTACTGGGTCAGAAGAGATGATATTTATTTGAAAGCTTCGTCACATAGCGTACGCTCAATTTTAGATGCTTGCACGAAAATGATTCCTCACTGATTCCTCACTGCTCAATGACCCTGAGTACCAAGTATAGGTCTAAATTTCCAGCCCTCCACCGGCAAGTGATGACGTCTACATACGAATGAAAAATTGTCGACAAGGACATTATAACAACAAACAAAAACAAAATCAATTTTGTTCACACAGAGGTAGGGTGGGACCACAATGGGTGATCCACAGACAAATGTAGCACCAGCGCACCCCCATCCCCCACATCCAGCCGGTGGTTTGATTTTTTCTTCTCTGCTTTGGTAAATTCTGATTGTTTAACTTTTATATACTCTCAATTTAGTCTACAGGTAAAATTTCATAATTAAATAATTTACTTAACATATACAATAAAACACCATTACATATAATTGACTTTTTAAAATTTTTGGCTTGTCAAAAAAATTCTGAACCGTCCGCACCTAACCCCCCCCCCCCCCTCTTTCCGTTCTGAAATTTCTGGATCCACCACTGAGAACAGCAGTAGGCCCGTGATTAGTGATGCTTATATGGAAGCATCCTCAGGTAGCGCAGATCCAAGTATCTTCAAATCAAACCGGGCCTAGGGTGGGACCACAATGGGCGATCAAAGTTTTACATAGGAATATATGGGAAAATTCTTTTGAAATTATCTTCTCAAAAACAGCAAAGCAATGATTAGTCATATTTATATGGATTGATTGATTGATTATTATTGTTTAACACCGAGTCGGCCAAATTTCAGCGATCAAATGAAGTGTATATGACCTATTTTGAAGTTTATGGTTTCTCTGGCCCTATTTATAACGAGCATTCATTTGCCGTGCATTGTCATGCAACATGTTCTGATGGACGGCAATGTAGGGTAGGTACACATTGTCGTCGGCGACAATATGAACAAGACGACAAAATGTACCGTCTCAATCACGCTGCATCAAATAGCATACGAGACACGTCATTGTGATTCACACACCAATTACATTCACAAAACTACCAAAAAACAACAAAAGAAATCTTTGAGCAACAATATCTGTGGGGCGACAATATGTACAGTGAGGGTGAGGCACATAATATCGCCAGCGACAATATGTACCATTGTAACTTTTCAGCCGGCGACAATATGTACCGATGGACGACAATATGTGCAGTGAGGGTAGGTTCATATTGTCGCTGACGACAATATGTACAAAACGACAATATGTACCGTCACAGTATGCAGCAAAGTTTGAGACGGGAAAAAATTTTTGCACTCAAAAATTAAAGGAACAGGGTGGTAGAAGCATACTTTATGGTAAGAAGGCAATGTTATTTGATACATCATACTCAGACGAGAACATAGAACTTTTGTGGGGAATAACCCATTTGTAACGCAGGTCATGACCATGATCCAATGTGTCCCTGTATGGCATGTCAAACGTTGCAATATTCGATCTTTTCCATTTGCATTGTATAATTTTCCATTTGTATTGTATAATTTTTATTTGTATTGTATAATTTTCCATTTGTATTGTATAATTTTTCATTTGTATTGTATAATTATTTGTATTCTATAATTTTCTATGAGTATTGTATAATTTTCATTTGTATTGTATAATTTTTATTTGTATTGTATAATTTTCCATTTGCATTGTATAATTTCTTATTTATATTGTAAAATTTCTTATTTGTATGCGATAATTTTTCATTTGTATTGTATCCGCGGACTGTTTATTTGTTTCGTTACGAAGGATTTCATTGGTCAAGTTTCAGCCTGTATCGGGTTGAAGATGTTCCGGATGCTCAAAGCAAACTGGGCTCATATGTATTTGCTTGCTTGATTGATTGATTATTGTTTAACGCCGAGTCGGCAATATTTCAGCCATATTTCGGCGATATATGTATTTGCGTGCATGTTAGACGGTCATTGGATTCTAAAAAAGGAGCGCTGGTAGATGGCAAATAAATAATCTGTCCTTAGAAATGCTGACTGAGAAAATAAATAAATTGACCTTGAGTGGTGGAACCTACCTCCACCCCCAAAAAAACTGAGTTTTCGGGTTTGGGCGGATTTTCTTCTTTTTGTTTTTCTCCTTGTCTCTGGTCATATTGGAAATAAATATTCTCTCCTGCGAGAGAATGAAAATAAATAATCGGATTCGACACCCCCCGAGAATCAAATGGTCGTCCCTTAGCATGCACTGCAAATAGAGGAGCCGAGTTTGTGTTTGTAGAGAATGCGCGATCGGAACTGTGGGAAGGGTACCAGACTAAGTTTGTGATGGGCACCTGAGACCTTTATACAGACTAAATTTTATGACCAATGACATCCTTCGTAACGAAATAAATAAACAATCCTCGGATACAATACAAATGAAAAATTATCGCATACAAATAAGAAATTATACAATACAAATCAGAAATTATACAATGCAAATGGAAAATTATACAATACAAATAAAAATTATACAATACAAATTATTTTTTTTACAACACAAATGGAAAATATAGAATACAAATAAACATTATACAATCCAAATGGAAAATTATAAAATCCAAATGGAAAATTATACAACACAAATGAAAAATTATACAATACAAATAAAAATTATACAATACAAATGGAAAGTTATACAATACAAATGGAAAAGATCAAATATTGCAACATTTGACATGCCATATCCCTGAACTCATCTTAAAGAGTTTGTTCTATATTCAGTAGAATTTCCACCCTAGATATCGTGTAATTCAAATATGTCTATACTCTCAATCGGAGGAACAGCCTGGTGCATAAAAATGCAGGTGGTTTTCATCCTATTGCAGCGGTTAACCCAAAAGTACACAAGCAAACGTCTCCTGAAGTTTTTTTCCCTTAACAGTAAATTCGGGTATGCAATCAGGGTGGATAAAGGGAAATTTACCGGAGAAATTTATAAAAAATATTTTTTATAAAATCGTTATTTGTTCTCTGCTTGCTTTTAAACCATGCTGAAAGCTTAGTTATATTTAACCAGTTGCTATTGTGTGTTTTTGAAAGTCAATATAAAATCTGCAGGAATACAACACACGTATTCGAAATGCAGGTCAAAGATCCTTTATTTCTTTACAAATGCATGCAGTATCCGATAGCATGTTTTAAAAAAATCTTTAAATCTGTATATAATGAATATGTTCTTTGTAATATCGCTTCTTATCAACACTTTTATCTTTTTCGTACTAGGAAATTTTATTTATAATTTTGTTTTTATATAAAAAATCAGTTGGAACACAAATCTGATGATTCTTCATGCCAGATGAAACTCTTCATATACTTCGGTGTAAGTAAGTTCATGAATTTGCTGAACAAGGTTCCTTGTCAATCTTTTACTGCATGTGTGAATTTATACAAATCACTTCTCTTGACCATTCAAAAGACCTTAGATCAGGTACCTAATACATACGCTCTGCATGAAGTACTTTCCAATAAAAGATAATTGCTTAATACATGTATATGATATTTTAAAGGTTATTTTGAAGTTGCACTCTTTTGAACAACTGTTGCCGCCTTTAACGACAAACATTGGGACACCCATACCATAGCCGAAGGAACGGGGGGGGGGGGGCGGCCGGGGGACCAGTCCCCCCAAAAATTTTGATGCAGAATGTCGGATAACAAAAGTTAAAAAATAAGCTAAATCTCTACAATACATTGCACATGAATATAGGGACATAAAACATTTGGTATATGAATTAAACAAAAATGTGTTTGAAAGAAAAATGTGTTTTATCGCGAAATTAAACGTTGATGTTTCCCTTTAATATACTAGTACATGTACATGTATTAACGATACATTAAAAATCCTTCCTTCAGTATTTATAGTACATGGATTGTTAACCTTTGACATTCACCTGTGTCATTTAGAAGTAATGTGCCAACCACACATGTAAATAATAATACAATATTACATTGAGGAGAAGAATGTGTGTTTAAACACTTTTCTTTTTCTTTTACACGACTCATTTTAGTACATGTGTATGTATAAATATTGTGAAATAAGAATTGTGTCTATGACAGAAAAGATGCTTGATACAGAATCCAAGTAAGCACACGTGTCTAATACTTAACAACTCAAAGGATTTGTATGATTATCAGCAGTTTACGTATATTGAATATTAATGAATGCAGAAATTAATTTGATTTTGGTGAATCATCATATGTAAATGGTGATTATAAATAAAAGCCATCATTCATCGTCTTACGACGACGAACTACATATGACAAGGATATACAAAGAAATATGGAAAATACATAGGGAAACAAAACTGCCCATTTAATCTATTTTTTTTTTTATTTGTGTCCAAAATAAAGTCTAGTTTTAAAAAGTTTAAACAGGAAGGGAAAAAATGAGTATTTTCATGGAAATCGTACCGTTTGATAACGATGCAACTAAATGTATTTTGAAGTTGGACCAAAGTGCTGAGGTAGATTTTAAAATCTCAAAACAAGTGCCAAATTAAGAAAAGACTTAAAATACCTGAAATACGCTGGTTATTTCTAGCTGGTAGAAGACGGGTACAAAGATGTGGGCGGTTCCTGTGGCTGAGATGATGAACCCGATGGAAATCCACCAGTACATGGTGTTATTGGTGTATACCTCAGCTGGGGTACCCAATAGGGTGATGGCGGATATAAAACTGGACAAGAGAGATAACGCCACCGGAAAAGTCTGCATCGATCTTCCAGCCAAAAGAAACTCTTTCTCATCCGTCTTTTTTCTGTCTTTGATGGCATAATATAGTCCAATTGAAGCTGAGATCAATAGAGTTATACCAAACACTACATAATCCACAACATTAAACGTCACTTCTTCACGTTGCTCAAAAATATAGTCGTAATTTCTTTCCATTTTGGTAAAATTCTTCAGATGTCTCTAAGAAAAAGCACAAAATTTCTCAGTCGTATGTATGCGTAAGCAAAAGTTCGTCAAGTCACACTGCTTACCTTTGAGAATGAATGTTTACAAGGGAATTTTTCGAAAACTCTGTCGACCAGAACGACGGGAGCAAATTTGACAGTCAATAACGTGTTTGTCACACACCCCAACTCCGTAAGAGATAAAATAAACAGAAATTTACGGTCAGTAGTTGAGAAACACCGTTAAAATGTTGTTATAGTCTTGTCGAAAAGTGCAAATGCATACCTGTGTAAATATTATTAAAAGCCTTCACCTTTCTTCAGGTATCCTCAGGTTAGATATTTCAATGCGCGATAATAAATCATGTTTTCCTAATTGATGGGATAGAGAAAGATATATGGGCATTCATCATTGACGTCCAATGGACAAATGGGCACTTCTAGCCTATCTTTTGAAGAGACTTTAAAGTCATTGAAAATTAAAATGCTACAATATGCAAGTATTTATGCTTTAAAGAAGAAATGACATTTGTCATACTGCCTGCAAATTATTCATAGTTGTAAATATGGTTTAGCATTACGACTGTGAGAAAATTAATTAAAACATATATATGTATTATAAGAAGTCGGATAAAGTATTCATTTTTTTTCTCGGAACACAGTCATAAAAAGTTTATTTTAGATTGATATACATCCTCCAAATATCAATCTGATTTATAATGTTGATAGTAAATGTCGACCGTGTGGTATTCTTTATTTAAATCTGATCGTTATTCGTAATTTGTAATTTCTTTACTCTTGTTTCAAAGTTTTACAGATATTTCTATACAGCACATGCGCTAACAATGTATATAAACGGAGAAACTTACGAAAAAATTCTATACATTTAATATACTTAAATGGTAAAGACATGGTTCCATTTCCGATCTTGAAATTTGTTTGAACTTGAACATAGAAACCTGATTTTTCTTCGCTTTCCGAAATTGGACTTTCCCATAAATTCAGATATCAGTAATACTTAAAAATCCCTCGTCAAAGATAAGATATCAGAAGTAACAAATAAGATATCAGAAGTAACAAATTTGCATTATATCTTCAGTTCATGCACATCAAAGGGATATATATCACTCTTTTTATTTGGGTAGAAAACTGAAGTATTCAAAGTTAAAAAAAAAAAAACATGATTCAAGGTCAGGGAATCGGAAAAGTCGGACTCGAAATGTAAATACACAACTTTTCAGTAATAACACGAGATACATACCATAAAGTTCAATAAGTTTAATAAAATTTCAAATAGTGACGAACAAAACAAGCCGAATTATAACTAAAAATTCAGTTCCGGTTGCAACTGATAATCTTTCATTTCTTTGGCACAATAACGTTTGCCCCTAAAAACCGAATTGATTAATTAAAACATGTTTGTGGATTAAATCGAGGTTCTGTTAGAAACATAGGTCGTTTTGTCCCGTTTGGCTCATCCCATCATAATTACTTTACTTACTTGTAAACATTTCACTCACCTTATTTTTATTATTTTGCACCTGTAAGGTAAATGGCCTAAGTATCGTCCGCCCTCGCAAATTATTCCACGTGGATCAGAGATGCACGAGACATAATGTGAAAAAAGATACCAGATATCAGTAATTTGTTGATAATGTTGTCATGTCCCGCTGTTTTATGACAAGGAGACATCTACTATCGGGTTTATTGCCGTTTATATAGAAACCTTGATTCAACAAAGCCTCTTAAACTATACACGGCTTCTTTGTCATGTAATCCTACATAAGACGTACTGTTACTATCGTGGGTATGAATTATCCTAAGTAATTGGGGGTAATAAGCATCCACGATGTTTATGAAAGGACGTGCATGGAACACTAGACGTGAAAGGTAAAGGCTGGATTTTGGCCTGTTCATTAAAATGACATTGATCTCGAGAACTCATTTTCATTCATATGTAGATATAAATAGTTAAGTCTTTTGATTAAAAAGGGATGTTACGTTGATCAACTCTCTCTCTCTTTCTTTCTCTCTCTCTATACTTGTATATATATATATATATATATATATATATATATATATATATATATATATATATATATATATATATATATATATACACGAGGGGTTATCAAAAAGTTCTTGGACTAGCACCATAAATGAAAACTGCTTTAAGTACATCAATGAATTTTAACACATTTAGTTAGCATCATCTTTTCTATCTATAGAATAAACCATAAATCATAACTTTTATTTTTTAATAAATTGTTAATTTTTTGGTTAAGCAATGGTATGTCCAGGCGGCAAAACCTCAAATATGACGTTTTTTCTACCTGAGTGTAACTAAGAAAAACTCTGTTGATATGAGCATTTGTCACAAAAAATTCCGTTAATTCAGGCATGTGGTAAATTGTTCCGTAAAATTTGCAATTTTACCCTATTCCGTAAGTTCTGTGAAACTTTATCGTAAATTTTATACGGAGTGTCCAAACAATTATGGGCTTGAAAATGACGCCTGAAAGGGGGTGGGTGGGTGTCTTTTTCCAACATTCTATAAAGTTTCGCACCTAGAAAAACTGGTATAGACCTAGAGAATGTTTACAGAAAAATGAAATGCATCCAGAGTATACTTGTTTTTTTAACAACTAAAAAGATTCAGACAGTTAATGTCGAGGTGTCAAAAGTCAGTCACGTCGAAAAGTTACGTTGATTATGTGTGGTAGAAATTGAAATCCAACAAGCTAAGTATTCTGGCATAATCAAGTGAGGATCGTTCCTATGTATAGATCCATTTACAATATTATATGGATTGAAAGCTGTTGTTCACGACATTGTAAAGTCAACTCATATAAACGAGACGGGCTTAAGAGAGAGCGGACATTGAGAAACAATGACGTTGTCGAACGTCATGAGACTAAACGGCGATAGCGTCGGGAATTATCAACGTTAGGGCTGGGCAATAATACCGATATTCCGGTATATTGCGGTATGTTGACACAAAACATCGTATTGCAATACGTTTCTGTGATACTGATATACCGGTAAAATACATGGACTCAGGAATTCTATCATAAAATTGAAAGAAAAGTTGTCAGAAAGGTTTGCGATCATACCAAACAGTAAGACAAAAGCTGTTGTGTTGATGTATTTAGTTGCACAACTGTAATTCAATCAACAGGAGATATTTTAATGGTTATTTATTATAGTTATGTACATTCCACATGTAAAATGAAGTTAAAATCACAGGCACTTGGGGTATGGACCCCCCCCCCCTTCCATTTTTTTTTTTACTTTTTAAATCTGGGGTCGAGTCACCTTTTTCCTATTTTTGTATTCTAATATGCACTGTATGTTATCAATAATGTAACTCTTTTGTCTCTATAAGCTGTTTTTAAATATATCGTTTCGACTGATACATAAAAAGAGAGCAGTCGAAAACGATATATTTAAAAACAGCTTATAGAGACAAAAGATAACACACAGTGCATATTAGAATACAAAAATAGGGAAAAGGTGACTCGACCCCAGATTTAAAAAGAAAAAAAAAATGGAAAGGGGGGGGGGGGTTCCATACCCCAAGTGCCTGTGGTTAAAATAATAAGACTATACCATAAAATTTTTGCTGAAAATATTGCAATACATATCGCAATACAGTTAAAAATATTGCAATACGAAATCTCTAGCCAATACCCAGCCCTAATCTGAACGTACAAGCTAAAATTTTCAACATTTCTTAAACTTGTGTAGTTTATGTTCCTTATAAATTTTGTAAACACAGACTACATAGTATTAATTTTATCACATCAGTCCACGAACTTTTTGATAACCCCTCGTATATATATATATATAGAGAGAGAGAGAGAGACTTAAACAGGTCGCCCGCGTAGGCGCAGTGGTTAAAAGCGAGGATCTTGGATCTTTGGGCACAGGTGCTTGAGGACAGGACCCTCCCTCCCACCCCCACCCCGAACTTTTTTCTCATAAATTATCTTTCAATGTCATCTTTGTGATATAATCCGTACCATATAATCTATAAGTGGATTTATATGTATAGAGTTGGTAGAAATTTTTATAAAATGCTTGTTCGAGGTAATTTTTCGAACTGATGATATGGATAAAAAATGGTAAAAATATGACAGTGAAAGACAATTTTTATGAGAAAAAAAGTCGAAAAGCCCCCTTTGGTCTATATCGGGGGGGGGGGGGAGGAGGGGTTCTGTCCTCAAGCACCTGTGGTTTTTGGGTGATTCGAATCCCACTGCAGAGAGAAGATCGAGACTGTATAAACCGATGTCCCGTGTCGCAAAAGATGCTGGCTCGAAAAGAATCCTGTTTTCCGCTCAATGACTGTTAAGTCTAATTTTGGAGCCTTCCAATACGGCGTCTAACATGAGTAAAATATTATCGAAGGGGCGTAAAACAAAGCAAACATACATACTCAATAGTAGCTACATGGATAAAATAAAACATTTTTTTCTGTTGCCCCTAACTACATTGACCACTCATCTCTCTTATTGCTGAAACTTATTGTATATGATTTAAACAAAGCCAATTGAGGTATTTGCAAAGATAGACGAGAAGCAAATTTGTTAAGATCCGGAGGGGGGGGGGAGGGGGGGGCAAACTCGTCTTCAGAATGTGGTCACTTCATCCAAGAAATAGAGTTCAGGGCTATCACGTGCGCGTGGTTTCTGGAAAGGGACAGAGTTGCAGGGGAGGGTCTAGGATGGATACTGGACTCAGGATGTCATTTTTTGTTCATATACGAGAGAAATAAAGAAATTTTTGAACAAGTTATGTACGAGTATTTATTAAAAAATCTGGCAGATTTTTTTTATGGGGAGGATGCATTCGTACACTCCCTTTCTCGAAGACAAATAAGAGGATGGAATAGCACAAACAAACAACAGCTTACCCCAAACCTTGATGTACTATTTCGATGTTCTTGAAAATTTTAAGACTTACCTATAACGGGAGGAGAAATTATTGGTATGGTCTTTCTTACTCCAGCATGCTAGAGGTCACGCCGAGATACTTTTGACTTGGCGCTGCGTAAGGTATATAAGGAGCGTAGGGACGTTAAGTGAGGCTCTTACTTGTAGGAGTAGGTCTTTCTATCAGTCTGTTAATACATGGAAAACTGAGTTTAATATGCATATGATATGACTAGGTATTTAGTATGTAGTCGGGGGATGATGGAGCAGAAAGGACAGGGCCCACCTTTTTCTGATATTCAGTTTTGCTGTTAGATTAGTATTAGTTAGATTAGTATGGAAATTGTTATTTAAAGAATGGTTGACAAACCCATCCCACGTTTTTTTTCTTTTGCTTTTTAAAAAAAAAATTTTTTTTTACTTTGCTTTGCTTTTTGAATGTTTGTTTTTTCTTTCTCTCTCTTTTTTTTGTTTGCTTTGTTTGTTGTTTTTTTTTTGTGCAGTATGGTCATTTTTTTTCAATTTAAAGTAATATTACTACTACTAATTATAATAATTTTTTTTTCCATGTTGGAAAAATCGGAACCTATCCCCAGTGAAAGGATACCCCCCCCCCCCAAAAAAAAAACCCCAGACGTTTTTGTGGAATTTCAAGATCTATGTCAGTTGGTCAATTATGCTCTTAAGGACATATGCAATGTCGTTTAAACTCTTACTTTGAATTTCTTATTCCCTTTATAATTTAAGAGTTTCAATTATTATATAAAGGACCTTTGTGCGATTTTATGATGTCTGGTAATGCTGTATACCGTCTTTGAATCAATTTATAGAAACCCCCCCAAGAATTTTCATCATTTAACACCTATTCAAAACTTGTGGTAATGTATGCTGATGTTTAGTCTAAGAGCATCTGATAATACTATGATTTGATATTAAAAATATCAATATGAAAGGTACATTATAGAGCACATGTACATATGTACGTTGGGTATGACCTTAATTAATGAACCCAGATTTCAAAATTCATCTCAACCTGTATAAAAAAAAATATGAACACATAAAACTGCAAAGAGAAAGAATACAAGGACATATCTCTGTACATTTGCATTCTACCATGAAAATCAAGGCTTACTGTTGTAAAAGGCATCTTCCTAAGGGTAGAACCCTTGAATTGGGAAGAAATAATGCACATGTACGACTGCCTGGGCAGAACTTCAGGACCCTTGATCAAAATGGATTCGAACAACTTTTGTCTAAGGTGAATTACAATCTGATTAAAATCAGATTTTTGTTACGCTCCGAAATTCTAATGGTCGTTGTACAGCGACCATTAGAATTTCGGAGCGTAACAAAGATCTGATTTTAATCAGATTGAGGTGAATTACAATATTTTAATACTTGAGGTAATACCTCAAAAGTAGAGGTCAATGGATATGCCACTGCTAATGCAATGATTTGACTTAAGGAAGCTCAAAGCACTAACAAAAAGTACTTTTTGGACTTGGAGAAAAATATATCATATAAAGGTGTGCATACTGCGACTATTTAGTTCATTTTCAACATAGGGTACCTGTCTTATTTCCGCAGGAAAAATGTTCAAAGACAATGGACTATTAAACAAAAATTACTGTTGTTTACTTACATTGGGAATATTAATGGAAATGATGAATTCAATTACTAATTTTTGGTTTAATATAATGCTAAGAATATTATAATTTATTACAAATTGTGTAATTAACTGTAAACATCCATTTTTTCTATCTTTCTTCTAAGGGCAGATCACTCTAACTGCATAAAACAACCCTTCAAGTAGAATTCTTTAGTGTGTAGTGTTTAGAGCTTCCTTAAGTACAAATATCTGTCTTGCTTTCAGGTATTCCAACCCCAATAGCCTCAGATTCAATGAAACTGAGGTACAGGTTGAATATGCAGTATATTTGGACAAAAGTCCTATTTTTACTATCAGTATATAAAAATGGAATGTGTCATGATTTATGACCTTAACCTGTCCTTGAATTATCTCCCTCTGTTTTAATTTTTAAAAAAATCTGGGTAATAAAATTGTTCTTTTATTCCCAATGATTTAAAATATCTTTCCATCATGGCACTTATTGATATTCTTTGTATTTGAGTTTTTATTTAAAAAAAAAATGCTTGTCCCTATAGACCTCAATGCAATTATTGCTTAGGTAATTAAATTTTTGAAAATTTCTTTTGGAACAACCTTTTCTACCCAAAAATGCTTTATATTAGTATTAGAAGTATTATATATGTGATGGAGAATTTAAAGTCCTATAAGGGATGGAATACCTTAGCATGCAAGGGAAATTGACCCTGTAACCCAGACTTGCTTGCAAAAAATTCTACCCTTGTATTCTTTTTCTACACTGGTTCAAAATACAGTCATAATAGGCTAAATTGTCAAATATGAACAATTATCATTTCCTTAGATATTGTATTAAACTAAAGAACAAACAAGAAAGCATTCTTGTATAATTCTTGTTTTCTTCCTGCAGGATATAGCATACTGCATAAATTCTTTCTAGAGGATATCACCTGTTGTCAGATTTATCAAAGACAAGGAGAATTTTCCCCTTCAAGCATGAATATATGCAATATATACCCGATATATTACAAACAAGATGGACATTTCAATTTGTCATAGTAAGTCCTATTAATACTACATATAATCAATTGAAAAAAGTCCTCATTTAAAAAATTAAACATTTTATTTTTAAGATATCCATCAGCTCTAAATATTTGATTGAATATCAGAAAGAAAGTTGGATTGGAATGTTAGTATACTCAGTACTAGAATATAATTTATACAACTTGAAATCTGTACATATATATATATATATATATATAAGAAAAACTATTTATATATTTTGTCACAGTATTTCATAAAATAATATAAATCCTGCATACATTTCTTCCAACAAAAATTCCCTTTCATTTCCAAGCACACAATTTACAGTTAAACCTCAGTATCTTGAATTCAGATGCACTGACTAAAAAAATTCAAAGTATCTGCATGCATAACACAATGCAGTGAAACTCTAACTATAGTTGGAAAATGAACTCAATTTCTTTTCATACAATTTTTGAAACCATATTTAGTCTAAGTGTCGAAAATTACATATGGGGGTAAATTATGCTAAATATGCAGTAAGAAATCTTTCATGTAAATATCCTCCAGCATACACTTTATTTACTGCATATCAAAGGTTTTGTACATATTTCATGCAGTATTAATTATACCGTTACATTATCCTGGTATAGCAGAAATGATCCTCATGCCTATGGTTCATACTACTTATTTGTGAATTAAACAACACATGTAAATATCCATGCATACAGTATCCAACAAAAGAATACTTTAGATAAATTGGGACAGCCCTTCAATGTAAATACATATTATACATGTATTGCAATATATAAAATATTAAAAAGAATATATGAAAAATACAAAGAAAGAAAAAAAGTACATTGAGAAACATATTAATTACCAGTAATAGCTGTAAAGGATATTAAAAAATGTACAAACATCATATCTAAACAAAATTTTGAGATATTTATGTTTCAATTTGTGACTAGGGAACAATTTAAATAAGCTCACATATTTACTTTGACAATCACTTCAATATTTCTCTATTATTCAATTTTAATGGGATTTTAGTTACTGAAGTTCAACTGCACATTATAAAAAGCGGATCTTGGCACATATATGATTCGTTGGGACTACACAAGAAAGACAATTCAAAAAGCAGAACATCCTTAAGTTTCTTTCAGCCAAGATGCAATCTCTTTTTGTATCACCTAAAAACAAAATTAAACAAATGATAAAGTTCTTAAGTATAGTTTACTGTATATTTACATCCAGAAACCATAAGAGGCCCAAGAACCACAATGCTCACCTGGACTGCTTGTTCTTACAGAGAACTAAGTGTCATAAATATTTGATTCTTAGGACCTCATTGCTATGGCACTATACTTTCTTGAATTCTAATTTGCAAAGATGTCTAATTGTTCCTGACATACACAATTATATGTGTATCTTAAACATGAAGTGTCAATGTAAAACTGACTTACAAGTCTGGCCTCTTTGAGAGGCTGTGGATCTGTAGATTTGTGGGTTGCCATGTCAGCACAGTGGGCAGTTCCATTGATGAAGACAGCAACCTCTCCAGAGACCTGGTCTGACTTAAGGACACTCAGGAAGTGCCAAGGATCTATGGAGCCTAAAAAAGAAATAACAAATGAAAACTAAAGACAGAGAAAGATAACATGAAATAGGTGATTTATTTATGATGAAAACTCAAGAATAGTTACATGGCCAAGCTAGGACTACTCTGAGCAAGCTCAATAAGTTATACTCAGTGCTGCAATTTTTTCTAAAGTGCCCAGGTACATTTTTCTAAAAGTGACCTTGAACTTACCAAATGACCTTGGATCATGAAAATTATACATTCTCTGGTCATCATTATTCTTTGTTTGAAGTATCAACAATCAAAATACATTTGTTAGGGAATTGTAAGTTGGACATAAATTTTACACTTTTTCTACCAGTGACTTTGAACTTGCCAAATGAACTTGGGCCAAGGCCATAACTCACCTTCAGGTCATAAGCAATCTTCTTTGAACAGTGAGCTTCCAATGTTTCTCCAACATAAGATATCGTCATAACAGGATCTATAGATTTTTCCAAGAATGACCTTGAACTTGACTGACATTGGGTCAAGGTCATGACACTCCTTCAGGTCATATACATTCTCTGCATGAGATATGAAATTCCAAATTTTCAGTTATGGACTGGACATGAATTTTATAATTTCCATGCCAGTGACCTTGAACTTGTCTGAATGACCTTAGGTGAAGGTCATGACACATTATTGGGTCATAAGCAATTTTTGTGAAAATGTGAACTTCAATGCTTCTCCATTACAAAGTTATGACCTGGACATTACTGCACAGACAGACGGAAAAGGTGAGTCCTATATACCCACACACCCCAAACTTTGTTTGTTTGCTTATAAAATTACACTTCAATTTTTTTTCATTTTGGAAAATAATATTGTTTAAACCAAACCAAGAAATCTAATTCATATTAATATTACCATTGACAAAAATAATTCTGGTGCCTTTTGGATGGTTAGCGCCATAATAGTCATTGGTGAACTGTACAAATTTAGGCACCATGTTCTCAGAGATCTTGTACACCTCTTTACATATGACAAGGTTTGATTCCAGGGTCAGAAGTCTGGAGAAAGGACAGGTAGTTTCCTTTTCACAAGTCTGATCTGTAAAAAAATCTTCTCCATTAAGGCTGATTAGGATTTAATGAAACTAGTACATATACTACCCTAGGGTGCTCACATATACTGTAACCCTTTGATATTGTATATGTAATTTTTTTACCTATTTATAATTTATACACTAGGACAAATGTAGTCTATGGGCTATTCTGCGACAAGTACATCTATTTGTATTTATTATATTGAAATAGCTCATAATAAAATAAAATATTGACAGCTTTCATGAACTGACACATTAATTATTCTGTCAAAATATGTTTATACACAGTATTCTTATTAAGAGAGGGATTTTTTATCTAGAGGAGTAACTGTACCTTTGCAAAACTCTTGACTCCCCATAAATGCCCCCAAAACCATGATTTGAACAAACTTTAATCTAGTAGTAACATCAAAGAAAAACTATTACCATACACGTAACAGATATTTTTTGCAATAATCCAGTTTTTGCTTTCTTTGCAAGCATTTCTTCTAGATCGCAAAATGTAAATTTGCAAAAGATTGTCTCCAGTTCTTAACCATATAGATTACAAAGATAAGTCTTATAAACCACTGGAAGAATCGCAAAAATAGGACTATGCAATCTAAAAAATAACAGTGTTTTGGAATATTTTTGTAAAATAATTGTGATACACAGAAAAAATCCTGTTATATGGTATACATTTGATCCTTTTTTAAATTTGACAATTATAACATGTATAGTGGTCCATATATTTCATTACAGTACATAATTCTGTGTAATATGTAAGGTTAATACATGTATCATGACCTTGGAGCTATCAATTACAAACATTACAGTTTCAACTTATATCTACATGAATCATACAATTCTAAGAGACCTTTGTTAATCTTTGACTATGATATAGTACATTTAAACAAAATGGTGTCTTACAATAGCCAAACTGTGAGCATGTCTGCCAGACCCACTGTCGTATGCCAGGCCCCACTGCATGCCTGTCTACTGTCTGATTAGTAAAACCTGACAGGAAAGTGGAGTATGTATTGTCAACACAACTCTGATTGGTTGTCTTCATCATCATCTACAGAATACCAGTAAATGATTAAAATGTACATACATTAATCCATTAACAGTATAAGCATGATAAAGGTACACCAATATTTTAGGTATAGATTTCAGATTGCCATATAAACCAAGAAGAGTGAATCTAACAACTAAAAACGGGTATTGTTACAGTGTTCCCAAATAGGATAAATTTCACGTATGTTAATGTTTTGATGGTGAATTTTAAAAAAAAAGCCCCAAATAATCAAAGTTAGAAATATTTGTCTCCAAAAATGGGTTAATAACTACGAAGTTACATTACATCATTATACACCAAAAATTCAAACAATTAAAACACAGGAAAAGGCAACTCCAGTAAAAAAGCTAGAAAACACATTTTTGGGAATGGTTAAGCAGATTTTACCTGATTTATTTTCTGTAGATTGCCATAGGAGTCTCCTGACTCTGTCATAATGTTGCAAAGTTTCTTGATATTCAGCCCAGGAACTTCATTATTGTATTGCACTACTCCCATAAAAATTCCTGCTAAGTTGTTGACAAAGACCATCTGGTCATTTGACTCAGAAAGGGAGCCACAGGACAGAAAATCCTTTGCAAGCTCTTTGGTTTGGTGGCCACTGACCATGCTGTCTATTTTTTGGAAGGCCTCAGCTACTTGTGCAGTACACTACCAAAAAAGGAAAATAAAAAAAAATAATACTGATTTGAACTGCATTTTATAAATCTAATGCTGAATGGTTACTTGCCTGTGACAATATAAAGTACCCCTTATGACAACAAAGATAATAAGGTAAAGTATGTATGTCCAAGATATGTTACATACATGTATATTGCTAAACAACAGAATTTCTTTCCACATGGACAGGAAACAATTGCCCTCCTTTGAATTTTGCACATTTTGACTTCTTAGGGCTCTAATTGGCAACTAATTTAGTCGCCATTGTGCCTAAAATTTTTGAATGGCGCCTAAAATTTTTCTGTAAGTCGCCAAATTGGCAACCATTTTAAATTGACTTGGCGATTGTTGAATTCTGGAAATTTTCACATTTTTAACAATTTTTCTGAAAAAGCAAAAAGAAATTTAGAAGAAGAGGAAATTATTTTAAGCAATGGACATGTGTTTTCTTAGGCATGTCATGGGTTCTTATATTCTATTAACTTTTAAAGTTTGCGCCTTAGAAAAATGGCCTGGCGACTAAAAATTTGCATTGGCCACTAAATTTTTTTGATAAGGCGCCAGGTGGCGCCTAAATTTTAGAGGCCTGCTTCTTTCTAACTCTTGAATACATGAGTCATGGTCTTATTTGCACACTTTTACCGTCCTTTGACAATGATTGACAAGAAATATGATTTCTGGGATGAAAAAATGAGTATTTTTACATGTTTATCTCCTTTCTGAGAATGGGACTTGCATGTGGAGTTCATTTCTAATAAGGAATGAGGCATGAGTAAAGTTCTTTTCCTCATATAACATTTATCAAGTTCTAACAAGTTAGCCTTAGTCTGAGACATGAAACTTGGGTTCTTCATGTTATCTTTGCTCCAAGGAATATGATTAATTTTAAACGTTTCTATCTCATAACTTTCCTTTGAGAAATGCACTGACTTTCTAGATGCAAATTTCCTTGTGAGGAAAGCAACATGTGCTGATTGTAACTTAGTGTATAACTTTCCTCTGAGAAATGAGTTGAGTCATTACATATTAATCTTCCTTTCAAACATGAGATGTGAGTTTTTTGAGCATTGACATATATAAGGTATGAGACATGCACTGACTTCTTATAAGTTAAGCTTCCTCTCCGGCATAATTAGAGTTATGTTTATTTTCCTTTAAACTTTCAGGAATGCATAATGTTCTTTTCTTCCTGTTTTGCCTTGCTGATCTGGCGAACAAAACACGGAAAGCATGCTTATCCACCTATTCATACCTCTCTCTTGCAGGATAGATTTTTATATTATTTTCACCCATGAAATTAATTTCCTTTCAAAAGTAAGACAGACAAACCTTATTTATTTGGAAATTTAACTAGGATTACTGTGTGTAAGGTTAGCTTCTTATCTCTGCTTTCTGCCAGTGATTTGGTCTTGGCTACTAGATCTTGGGTCATCTTCAGGTCATAAGACATCTTTTCCTCACTATGGGCTTTCAATGTTTGTCCATTACAAAGATATGGTCCAGAAACTAATTACACAATTTTTTAGTCAGTGACCTTGATCTTGTCTAAATAACCCTGGGTCAAAGTCATGACAAATCCTCAAGTCATAAGCAATCTGTGTGTCAAATAAGTGTCTCCAATATTTCTCCATTACAAAGGTATGGTCCAACACAATTACAAGGAGAAATGATAAGACATTTGAACAAGGTGATTCATATATGTACCCTCAAACTTTCTTTGTGGGAAATATAACAAGCTGTCCTTACCTCCAGATCTATTCTTGAAAAATGATACAAGTTGTTCCTACCAGTAGAATGAAATAAGCTGTTCGTACCTGCTTACTTCCTCCCACTGTTGGATCTGCTAAGCTTTGAGCAACCACCTCATTATAACCTTGAAAGTCAGTCTGAGCTTGTACAGGAGCTGAAGAGGCCACTGCTCCAAACACCAGATGTGGATACTGTCAAACAAGTATTGCATTTTAAAATTATTTTACTGCAGTTTTGAAACATGAAAAAAAAAAACTGTTTAAAGAATAACTGTCTAGTTTTTTGGTTTTATGATGTGATCAAGCAATTGGCTTGCATGATAATTTGCATAAATGCCAAAGACATTTATGCATAAAATTATCATGCAAGTCAATTGCTTAATCATCATAACAAAACAAAAAAAACCCTGACAGTTATTCCTTATATTTACATGATTCTGAAAATTCATGTGCTCGATCCAAGCCCCACCCATTTTCTCTCTCCTGCCCTGCACATGATTTTTTTTAACCACTCCTATAGATGAACCAAAAGCTTCATGAAGAAATGAAGTTTTTTAAAATTATTTGTAGTTTTTTTTCTTGGACAAAGAAATTTGAAAATGTAAATATTTAAGGATTATCTAAAATAGGACCATTTATAGAAGCCAAAGGAAACCCATGGCTTCCGAAGACACAATAGGACATGCATTATAAAATGCTGAAATCACTCACGTCTTTTGAATGTACATGTACAATATTTTCATTTTTCATCCTTATTGGTAATGGTTTAATTGTTAACCTGATGCAAATTAAATTGGGAAAAATGACCTGTTCCAAGGGAACACAATAGGATATTTACTGATCTAACACAGAGTATTCTGCATATTTCTAAAGAGTGTACTGTATTAAATGAAATAAAGATGTTCACCTTCAAGCGGAACCATGCAGATAATGCTCCAGGATAGCTTCCACCAAAACAGATCCACTTATTATCTATTAACTCGTACCTTGTAGTGATGTAATTATGGACTTTTGTCAAATCAGCTAGTCTAGAGAAACACATATAAATCCATATCACTAAACAGATTAAGAGATCAAGCACCCATCATTATTGCAATATTATTATCAATTTCATTAACATATAGGAAGAAGTAATAGAGATTGTTTCTAATGAACAATTAAAACATAAGCTTAATTGTATTAAATTGTACAAATTGAAATAATAGCTGTTGTATCAAGACACACCCTTGTTGACTGGACAAGTGTTGAAGTTGATCTAGATGTAAACCATCATCGTTGATGCTGTCACCATAGAAACGGTGTTCAGCAGCCACAACCATGCCTCCAAAGAGCTTGGCCATCTCAACATGGTGACCTGAAGTATAGGGGAAAAAAACTATAGATAAATTACTTCACCTCCACATATTATGTCTAAGCTTGTTGGGTTGTATATGTACATTGTATTTGTTTCTTACTGCTAGTATAATGAAAACTGTAAATAAATTCATCTTAGGCAGTATGCTCATTAAGCATTTTTGTACAACTAGCTTCATTAAAATGTAGACCTGTTTATTCTAATACTCAAAAACTGTATTTGACCTGACAAGTGCCAAGATGCTCACAGAGCTTTGATCATTTGCTTCAAAATAACAAATACTTTGACTAAACATTAGTGTTTTGTGTATCAGCATTAGTACAGTGTATAGAGGTTACTGTTTTGTGCACCAGCATAAGTGGCATTAAGTGCAGTGTATAATGAAATAATTTTAAGAGTTATTGTTCCTGAATGAGGAGTGGATATCCTTAATCAGGATGCGTACAGTGTATAAAAATTATGCCGATACATACACAGTCGAACTAGCATAAGAAATTGTAGTGTATATAAATATCCGTGTTCACGGTAAGACAGTAAATTAATATTTTTGTGCTTCTTACTAGCATCAATAATGTATTGAACATTTGTTTTGTAAAATAGCATAAGAAAAGTATATAAACATTAATGTTTTGTGTACCAGCATAAGCAGATCTGTTTGAAAGTGCTCCCTCTCCTCCTATGAACAGGAAAATAGGACCATTGGGTTTGTTCCAGTTCTCTACATTGATATAGATTTTCTGTTTGTATGTTTCCTGCAAAAAAAAAGTCAAACTTAAACTTACCGGTAATGTAAAAAAAGTATTACACTCAACTTTGTATTCTATACGCAGCCTTTCGTGGAAAACAGCTAAATCAAGTATATCGCTAAGTGTCTTTTATGTTTATGTCTTTATGTAGTACATTCAGAAATACTAGCTAACTTATTGAAAAATCAACTTCCATTAAATAGTACTGTACATGCCAATTGTAATACATTTACAGTATACTGTTGGAAACTCAAATTGCCTTATATTTCTGTAATCCATAAACAATATTGTACAGTAGTAATTTGTTAAGGGCCAAGAAATCGTTAATATATATATATACATAATCTGAACTTGAATCAGTACTACATGTGCAATCTTTCATTGGCCAAGTTGGCCTAAAAAAAAGGAAGAGAATTTTCAAAGATAATCTTATACCCATATAAGAAACAGAAGAAAGTTGATATATCAAACACTGAAATTGTCATTACTGACATCTTCTAGTTAATACAGTGAAACCTGTCTAATCTGACAGACACTAGGTGACAAATTTTGAGTCGGAATAGACAGGGTGTCAGATTACACAGTGTAAAAAACACTGAAAACAGTATAATGGGAATGAAACTAAAGGTCGGAATTCGGAGTGAAACGGATTGTACAGATGTCGAAATAGGCAGTTTTCACTGCATTATATTTTTAGAGGAATGAAGTCCAACCTTGATATCTCGAACTCAATGGGACATAGAAAAAACTTTCCCGGGTAAAATACTTTAAGAATAAGGGGTTGGGACTTCAAAATCACTTAGACATATCCACGGTATTCAAGACATCAGTGTTTGAGATACCAAAGTTCAACTGTATATGCATTCACATGATACAAATTTTGAAGTAGGACTTACAGAGGAATAGGCATCAAAGTGATCCAGTGGTTGTGTCAATAGAACCTCTTCTACAGTCTGACCACTGCCATATAACCTTCTGTAGTCATGTATGGCTGAATTTTCCCGCTGATTTTCCACCAATTCTTTAATTTTCCAAAAACTGTGTCCTTTCAAATATTGAAACATGTAATTCAATTTCTTAATAAAAAGTTGTAGATTTGTAGCAAGAATTACATAATTCCCCTTAAATTCTAATCTGTTTCCTTAATTTGAACTTGTTTAAAAGGTAGTCCGATCCTCAGGTTCTGAAAATCAGCTTTTAAGTAATTGAAAATACTCACAAAAATGTCTCTGATTTCACATAGTAACGTGAATTTACCCATGGAATTTCTTCAAAATTCATCATTATAGTTAATCATATTATATAGGGAAAATTATCAAATCTCAAATATTTTTTCAGGAAATGCGAATAAAAACACAAGCTATGCATTTTCTAATCTAAAATTGATCAACATATATAATTTAGGATAGAAAAATATAGGTATCCAGGCATTTGGAGAAAATTGCATCTTTTTTATGCTTATACAGTAGTTTAGTTCTTCTTTTAACTTCAATTGTTATATAATACACAGTGTAAAAAACTTGTGCTATCATTGCTAGACATCACATATCACATCTGATTTCATTTCATGCTAATAAGCAGTGATATCTAATGCTAGACTACAGGAAATTCGATTTCTCTAAAAAAAGAATTCATTTTTTTTCTTTTATGGAGTACAAATGTCAACTTTTTACATGACGGTTTGTAAGACTTCAAAGAACCTTGAATCATATAAAGATGCATAAAATGAAAATTGTTGCACGAAAAGGTCTCAATTTCAAGCTTCATTTTGAGACGTTTTAAATAAAATAATAATTTTAAGAGTTATCCTTCCTGGCTGAGGATCGGATATCCTTAAGCTAAAATTTTTGAGAACTTCCATCTTGACTTTGAAATACACAGATTTGAAAATTTACATTCTTTTATGATATATGTACTGAAATTTTAATCAATTCAAGTGCTAAAAAAACTTATTTACTATAAATGAAAAAAAAAAATGAAATTGAGGATGGTAGGTCCAAAGTCTCAGTGTCTTTTCATAAAAACGACATGCAGAGTCATAAAATCTTTGTAAAGCTCTCAGTTCTCTCTCTCATTTCATTGTTTGAGCATAGATAAAATTAAAAATTCTGAAACTTTCTGCAGCAGGGTAAACCCCTCTTATTTTCCCCTTTAGCAAAAGCATGGGGACATAAAATTTCATTCTTCTGTCTGTCCATCATTCTTGCTGTTGCAAAAACTTTAACCTTGGTTATAACTTTTGAACGAGAGAAGATAAGGCTTCATTTTTCATATGTGCATTACTTTTGAGAAGCCCTTATGAATATAAATGATTTTTGACCTTTCAACCTTGACCTTGAAGATTGACCTACTTTTCCAATAGTTTAACCTTGGCCGTAGCTTTTGAATGAGAACAGATTGGGATATCATATTTTAAATCTGCATTACCTGTGACAAGATCTTTCTGGATGTACTAATGATGTATGACCTTGAAAATTGACCTTCTTTTCAAAAATTTTAACCATGGCTGCATCTTTTGCACCTGAAAAGTCAGGGCTTTCATGTTTTTCATGTGCATGACATGTACCTTAGACAAGTTTTTTTGATCTTGGGAAGTTTTCTCCGTCTTTCTCATTTTTTCAAAAGCTTGTCCCCCATCCCTTTCGAAGAAAGATATTACTATTTGCATGCAGGCATGCTTATGCAAGAAACTAACATCTCCATCCTTTGAGGTTGAATACCATACATCGAGTTTCATATAGTCTTAGAGAGAGAGAGAGAGAGAGAGAGAGAGGGCAATAATAATCAAGGCCATGCACGTGCTGTGATAGGACCTAAATTTAATATTTGGGATTATGTGGGATAATTTTTCTATTACTTGATTATTATATGCTTTAAAATGCCGATGACTTTCTGTCAGTAAAGATTATTGAGAACCCTCAAGGATTTTAGTGTTTGAACGCTAAAAGTCTTAGTAATTAATATTACAAAACTATACCTGGTATTGACGATATGTCTTTCAGCATAAAATTTACAGTAAACACAAAGATAAGATACTTTAGAACAAACATCATTTCAATTCACAAACACTACTACACAGATACAGTTCAAATGCAAATAATGTCGTGATCTGATACTGATACTTTCTCTTTCTCCTTAGATCATGTGACATTGTTTACAAATAGCCGGAAGTTGCACGTGGACTCCTCCCGGTTTTACACATTCGGCAAACCATGGATGATTCCATCGCCTTAGATGAGGTGTAGTCTGATATGTGCCGAGTGATTGTAGCGGAATCAGCCAAGAATTGTCGATTGCATATGTAACGAAGTTTTTTTTTTTCAAAGAACGAGATAAAAGATATTTGAACTGTTGAACAAAACTGAATCAGCACAAATTATGCAACTTTTCTTGTGAAGAAAGCATTTAAAAATTGTAGCCCTCTCAATATCCTTTTTTTTTTTTTATATCCAGATTAAATATCAGTGCTGATTGTGGAGTCTGTGGATTTTCTTCGGTGGAAAAAACGCTATTCTGGTCATATTACCCTTGAGCTATCTAGAGTGGTGCGAGGCCTACTCCAGCATGCTAGAGGTTTTTGACTTGGCGCCGCGTATATATGGAGCGTAGGGACGTTAACCGAGGCTCTTACTTGCAGGAGTAGTGCGAGGCCAACAACTTTGAGGAAAGGATCCTCAATTTTTACATTAAAGTAGGAACTTTATTCTTTAGAGAACAATTAGAGACCTGTAAATTCAATTTTTTCAAGGGGGGGGGGGGTTTCAACATTCTATGTGAATATAAAATAAAATATATATTAGTAAAACTCAAGTATTGCAAGTTTTTTTTTTCTTAAAAATATCCGGGGATGTAAACTGGATAGAATGGGCAAAGATAAATTGGAGAGGACTTGGGGAAAAATGTATATTTAATTTATCGTAATGGGAAAATTTACCTTTTAAAATGTTAAATGCGTAGTGGAAAGGGTGTAAAGAGGTCATGTTTACCTTAATTCTTCTTGGAGAGAAAGTAAATTCTACAGGACAGGGGTTACTTCCGATGTTAAGCAGGGCTTGCAGACTATGGATTCTTTTGACTCGGAAATATTTTTTGGACTTGAACCGAAAATGGCTTTTCTTCAAGATTAATTCATTTTAAGTAAATTTGAAATAAATTCCAATTGCGAAAAAGAGGAAGAATGCATGACAGCAAAATAATGGGTCATACTAAAAGAACTTAATGTCATGACATCCGAAGAAATTTATTATATAAGATTTATTTCTTTTATCTGTGTATATCTGTTCAGAAATTTAAACCGTTACAGAACTTGTTCTTTTTGAAACTACAACCAATGAATAAAATTGTTTGTAACCAAAATATGCAACTTGTTTAATATTTTTATTGATCGTATTTTCACTATGTGGAATGTCCTACAGATATTCAGAGTCAAAACTGACTGAACGTCCCATATACTATATTTATATCAAAAACACAAGACCCTTTAATTTTGCACAGAAAACTGCACTCTCCTAACATGATGGCATATAAATAAAGTGAACACAAAACTGTAATTTGGATTTTTATTATTTTATCAACAGACACACACATATAACACACACATTATATATAATCTTCATGAACCTCTATTCATATTTTTTTTTTTAAATTTTCAATAAATCAAAGATAACATCTAAATAGGTCGAAAATACAATATGCCAGGATATATAACAACTAACCGCTAGGGAAAAAAATAATAGTTAAACTTATTTGACCTGAAGGTCAAAGAATATCAAAGGTCAAGGTCAAATGATCATATCATTATTATTTTCAATCTTTTATGATCATCTTTCATGATCAAAGGTCAAGAGTTCCTTCACAGATGCTTTCATGTTTCTATGATTCTTCGTTTAGAAGTTTACTATTTTAGAAGGGTATTCCTCCTGGGCACCTGATCCCAATCCTCTGGAATTTCAGGGGTTCTCCGTGCTTTTCTGTCCTATCCACAGATTTGTATTGTTTGCGAAAGAGTTTTCCTCCTATATATACTGTGTTCCCTTATTTTGGCCTCGTCCTACCTCCGGTGACCATGATTTCATTTTGAACAAAATATAATCTTATTGAGAATGCTTACATATTTTGGAATAACTAAAAACTCAACATGGCCTTCCTGTTCTAGAATTTTTAAAATCTAGCTGTGCTATATTTTGATCTCCTTTTGTGACCGCACCCCGGGGTACATGATTTGAAAAAAAACTACAACAGTAATTTAAGGATGTCTGCATATTAATACAACTTTTCGTGATTTTCATATTTTTGTTGAGATTTTTTCAAAAACTTTTCCCCCTATATATATATATTCCCAACTAAAACTTTGATCCCTTATTTAGAATTTATTCTTGGCCTTAACCTACACCCAAGGGTCATGATTTGAACAAAATTTAATCTGAACCACCTGAGGATGTTGCATATGAGATATTATAATATTTTTTATGTTCAACACATGCGTTTATTTACCAATCATGGGTCCTCGAGCTCGGATGGATGGGTTTGGGTTAAACAGCATTAACAACTTTACATAGGCGTTGGAATAGGAAGGGTTGATGTGCCCCCACCCCACCTTATATCCGGCTAAAAACATACATTCACAACTTACCACTCTTCCACTGCTTTTTTTCACAAAAAGCACTGTATATCATATATGAACCATACACCGTCTCCCCCATTTTATAACATGCCTCAGACGCCTTAAAGGAGATGGGTGAACAAGGCGTGCAAAATACCTATACATATGTAGCTTCAAATGTATAAAAGTCATTTTCAATTTGTAAATTTCGCATTTAGAGTAAGGTTGTATGAAATGATGACAAACAACTTTTCAGCGAAAAATTCTTTTTGGAAATAATTATTCTATTATAAAAAAATACGTGGTATTCTTGGGGTTCAAATCCAAGCAATAAAATCATGATGTCAATTTTCCTTCAATCATGACTATTAAGTACAATCTTTCAAAAAACTGGAGTGAAGACCTAATGGGAAAAAATTGTTTTACATATGTAGTACATGTATCAAGAATTGACCATTTTTGCCCTCTTTAGTGTACATGGATGCTATTTCATAAACGGAACAATTTATTTCTTTCTGAAATTTATGTGATATACGTAAATACTGCATATTTTTCTTATGACAAAAATTTATGCACACAATTTTTAGCTAAATCCCAGTATCCTCATCTCAGCTGGACAAAAAAAAAATAATATCTGAAGAAAAAATATCTGAGTGCGTCACCATATGAAATTCTAGCTAGACCATGAACTCAATTCCTTTTATAAAATTCAATTTTTTAAAACCATGTTTTATCCAGCATTTATTAAACACACTGGATGGATGCAGCAGTATGATAAGCATTTGAGCCAATTTCATAAGACCAGACGTAAATATAATCAAACCTCATCATCTCAAACTCGGTGGGACCAATATACTTCGAAATATCTGTGGATATGAGATAATGAGGGTAAAAAAATGAAATATGGAGATAACGAACAGTATTCAAGCTCAAAGTCCATTAAAATAATACAAATCGAGAGCAGAGCAAACACGGACCTCCAAAAACATCAGAGGTGAGATCAGGTGCCATGGATTAGTGAGCATCCCCTGCCGACCGATCACACCCGCCGTGTGTTCCTTGTCATAATCGGGAAATAATGGGAAAATCCGTTAACAATTCGGCGTGTAAATAATGGCTTAACAATTAGTATGAAAAACATAGATAAAAAGTGGTTGGAACTGCCAATTAATGCACTTTGACATTGATATATCGGTGTTTGAGATAACAGTTTAACTGTACATGGATAAAAAAGTACACGATATATAATTAAAAACAGAAAGAAACATTTAAAAGCATATCAATACACAAAAAAATGTATAATCATCTAATTCCATCGCTCAGTTTACATAATTTATTCAATGTGATATTGAGAGCATGCTCAAACATTAATTTTCATATTGGTATTCTGTCCCAGCGGAGGACATATAAAACAGCAACTTTGATGAGATATTAATCTCTGTTTCAATTATGATTGGATAGTTACTTTGACACTCACTTCAACAGTTACCTAGTATTCAACGTAACTGCAAGTTCAACTATACATTATTAAAAGCAGATCTTGGCACATTTGGGATTCGATGGGACCGTAAGAAAGACAATTAATTCAGAAAGCAGAATATCCCTAAGTTTCTTTTAGCCAAGATGCAATCTCTTTCTGTATCACCTAAAAACAAAATTAAACAAATGATAAAGTTTTAAAGTATGGTTTGCTGTTAATTTACATCAAAGACCAAAATAAGAGGCCCACAAGTCACAAGGCTCACATGAGTTGCTTGTTCTTACTGAGAATAAATAAAATATGAGAATGATTCTTGTGGCCCCACTATTAAACGTTTTAATAGTTCAAAGACATTTTGATAGCCAGAGCAATCATTAATTGAATAAGCAGTATCTAACTGTTTAACAATATCACAGGCACCTGACGTGTGGATAGTGTGAGATTTAAACCCCCCCCCCCCCACCACCACTCACTCAATTTATTTTATATTAAGCTTATAAAAATATCGGCTGGCAATTTTTTAATGCTTACTAAAATAAAAATTGACTGCATGTACAGGCTGATTTATGAGTTCGATTGACAGGGAAATCATATACCTTTTGGAGAATTAGGTTTCTCAATTTATTTCATATAATCATGCTATTCACATGTTACGTTGCAATAATTTTGATGTTGCTTTTTAAATAGATTTAAGTAAAAAGGTGTTTGAGTTATAAATATGCCATGTACCTGTGAAGTTTGAAATAAAATTTTACTTTCAGAAAATGTACCGAATACTAGTATTAGACTATCGTTCGAATAATGCAATAGAATAATAGACTAAGGAAAATAATATTTTGACATCCCTAATTAAAACATTATACTTTCTTGAAAACGCAATTAGGATGGTTTTTACTTGAGCTGTAGGATACAAGGCTGCTTATATATATTGTATAGAAATTCCTAAGTAAAACATCGGATCAAGAGGAAAGAAACAAAAGCCCATTGACCATATTGTTTACAAAAATTAAAGCTGTCTTATTTGTACAGAGAGATTTACTATATGATAATAATTATCATAGGAAATGTGCTTTGATGAATAAACATTGAACTGACTTACAAGTCTGGCCTCCTTGAGAGACTGTGGATCTGTAGATTTTTGGGTTGCCATGTCAGCACAGTGGGCAGTTCCATTGATGAAGACAGCAACCTCTCCAGAGACCTGGTCTGACTTGAGGACACTCAGGAAGTGCCAGGGATCTATGGAGCCTACCAAAAAAAAAAAAAAATACCAAAAAAGACTAATGAATCTATAAATAAAATAAGGCAACTTGAGATACTAAATTGGCGTATTCAAAATTTTTTGCAATCACTGGGTATGGAGTTATTGGCGTATTCATGAATTAGTGCTACACATGTCCTTGCCGTATATTGTATTTATAAATAATTTTTTAGGGGTACTCATGAATTAGCCTATCTTTGTCTGCACCAAAGCCGCTAAAATATGAAGCCCATTTTTTTGAGTACACATACAGTAACTAACTGAATTACCTAATATCATTACAGTTACCTGGTAAAAAAAATCCTTTTGAAAAATAAATATTGTATAAACCAAAAACCAAGAAGTCTATTACTCAAGTTAATATTAATTACCATTGACAAAAATAATCCTAGTGCCTTTTGGATGATTAGCACCATAATAGTCATTGGTGAACTGTACAAATTTAGGCACCATGTTCTCAGAGATTTTGTACACCTCTTTACATAAGGCAAGGTGTGATTCCAAGGTCATAAGTCTGGAGAAAGGACAGCTAGTTCCATCTTTACAAGTCATATCTGGAAAAAAAATCTTCATCATTAAAGCTGATCAAGATCTGAAGAAACTTTGATATAATCCCTACCTGAGGATACTTGCCTATATATCAAAGCCTTTCTGATGTTGTACATTTAATTTTGGGGGTGGGGTGGTGGTGGGGAGGGGGGTGGGGCTGATCACCGGTTCCAGGGAACATGAATTTAAAATTTTTGCAGGAGGCTAGCTGCTTATTATAGTTATCCAATATGTAAGTCTAGTAATAACAAATGAGTAATGAAGATTAAACAAGATGTGTTTGTGAAACACTGATGCCCCCGTATGGCAGCTTATGGCGAAGGTTAAAGTTTCTCAAATGCAAGTCAAAATCCAGGCCAAAAGACAAAAAATGTTAAATTTGAAAGCCCTAGCTGCAACTGTTCAAAAGTTATGGCGAAGGTGAAAGTTTTTTAAAAGTAGGCCAAACTCCTATGTCAAGGTCAAAGGGTGAAAGTGGTTGGTATCCAAAGGAAAGTCTTGTCACAAGGATTACATATGTGAAGAATGAAAGCCCTAGCACCAACGTATCAAAAGTTATGGCCAAGGTTAAAGTTTTTCAAAAGTAGGTCAAACTCCTAGGTCAAGGTCAAAAGGTCAAAGTGGTTGGTATCCAAAGGAAGGTCTTGTCACAAGGATTACATATGTGAAGTATGAAAGCCCTAGCTCTAACCGTTCAAACGTTATGGCCAAGGTTAAAGTTTTTCAAAAGTAGGTCAAACTCCTAGGTCAAGGTCAAAGGGTCAAAGAGGTTGATATCCAGAGGAAGGTCTTGTCACAAGGAATACACTTGTGAAGTTTGAAACCCCAAGCACCAACTGTTCAAAAGTTATGGCCAAGGTTAAAGTTTTTCAAAAGTAGGTCAAACTCCAAGGTCAAGGTCAAAAGGTCAAAGTTGTTGGTATCCAAAGGAAGGCCTTGTCACAAAAAATACACATGTGAAGTTTGAAAACCCAAGCACCAACTGTTCAGAAGTTATGGCCAAGGTTATAGTCTCATAAAATTTTGCAAAAGTGGGTCAAACTCCAAGGTCAAGGTCAAAAGGTCAAATATGATGGTACCCAAAGAAAGGTCTTGACACATGGAATACACATGTGAAATATGAAAGTCATAGCTCCAACCAATCAAAAGTTATGGGCAAGGTTAAAGTTGACAACAGACAGACAGACAAACAGATAAACAGACAAACAGACAGACAGGACAAAAACAATATACCCCCGGGATCTTTCGATCCGGGGGGCATAAAAATCAAAGATGTAAATAATGTATTTTCAATATATGACTAACTTAGCCCCATCATTGGGCCTGGATGCTGGATACAGGAGGCATCATTTTGGTAAAATGTTACGTACTCATTGTAATCATGCAAACAGTTTGCCTGAAACATGCTCCTGAGAAAAGAAGAAGAGTTGTATTTTTCAATATATGACTAACTAGGCCTCACCCTGAGGCTTGAACCCCCGGTTTGGGGGTCAGAGGGTGGGTATAAATTTCACAATTTTAGAAGCATCAAGATTTTCAAAGATACATGTATTTTCAACATAAAAGACCTACTTAGCCCCACGCTGGGGCCTTAAGTATGGACCCAAAGCACATTAATTTATTTTACAATTTGGGTACATGGGTAAAGGTTATGCACTCATTGTCGTTGAATAATCGGTTTGCCCACTAGATGTCATTTCGCAAAAGATTTTCAAATATGAAATGAATTTTCAATATATGACTAACTTAGCCCATCCAGGGACCTGGGACAATTTTTGTAAAGCACGGTTACTGTGTTTAGTATAATATCATGTAAACAGTTTGACTGCTTGATGTCCAGGAAAATGGAAGATTTTTGAAGATTGTATTACTGTAAACATACTTTTTTCCACGGGGTCATAATTCTGCGGAATCTCTATTTCTGTTTAATCCGCGGGTTGAAAATTACGGAGATTTCTCAAGACTCTCACTTTATGAAATATATATGTATATGAAGTACGATGGGACAAATTTCCGCGGAAAATTTGTGACCGCGTACATAGCGTAAATTAATACCGCGCAGAAAAAATACTTCTACAGTAATTTTAATGGTTTTGGCCCTGTCCCTCAAGCCCCTTGGAGGCAGAGAAAGATACCATGAAATTCAATTTTTTCCCCCTTTATTCCATAGATGCAATATAAAGCACAATTGGTGGGACTTGGCTCAGTCATTCCAGAGAAGAAGCTGAAAATATTCAAATGTAATAATGGGTGATGAATGTCTATGGGCAGAAACAAATCGTTATAGGTCACCTGAGTGACTCGGGGAAAAAACAGTGTCTTACAATAGCCAAACTGTGTGCAGGTCTGCCAGATCCACTGTCTTATGCTCAGCTTCAATGCACGTCTGTCTACTGTTTGATTTCTCAGGTACGACAGGTAGCTGGAGTATCTATTGTCAACACAACTCTGATTGGTTAACTTCATCATCATCTGCAAAATAAATGTACTTACAAATCCAGCAAACAGTTTTAAACATAATAAGGCCATTTCAAGTTTTTTCTCTGTCTAGCGTCCACCCATCTTTCAAAAACTTACCTACCTATAACAGGACAAAAAATAAAACACAGACTTGATAGTCATAAAAATGACATCATTCAAAGGATTTTACTTCATTAATCTATTTTTCTTGTAGAAAAATCTATTCTTCAGCAAAATCAATGTATTAAATGCTTAAAATATATCTTATATGACATATCGTAGACAAATATTTAGCGAATTGAGAGAATTCAAAGATTTTGACCAGAATAATCAATTTAAAGGACTGCTGATTTTTTTGTTTTTTCAAATATGAGGTGTCAAAAACCAAGGCGCACGCTAAACAAGGCGGACGCTAAACATAGAAAAAAAAAAACTTGGAATGGCCTAAAAGGTACCTCAATTGCTTTAGGTATGGAATTCAGTTTGCCATATAATTAAACAAAAAATGTAAGTCTTACAACTCCAAACTATGGAATCTGGATAGGGCTATGTAGTTTGATCACCATTGCACATTTGAGCATCCACTTTTAGGTCAATGGTGCATGACAATGATGCAGTGGAGCAATGATGCTGTGATAGCATGATACGACAGTGCATTAGCACAATGGAACAATAGTTAGTATCGTTTCATTGTCATAGTGCCATATTATCTCACCATTGCGTCTGAGTGACTGCCAAAGTATCATCATGTCATTGCACTATCACTCCATCATGTCTTCACACAATTATCAAGCTTTATTGCGTCATCGCTCTATTGCAGTATCGTGTCATCGTCATAGCGCCATTGCATCATCATGGTGTTACCGCATCATCATGCCATCAATCCACACTTCTGTGGCATAATAGTGAACTACGTGGTCCTATCCAGATTCCATAAAAACAGCCATGACTTTTTTTTTACTATTCCAAAGAAAGATACAATGTAATACTGTCCATGTTCAGATGGTGAATTTTTCATTTAAAAAACAAAAACTTATTTAATATTTTAATATTATCAAAACTTGAAATATTTCTCCTCAGAAAAGAGTTATCATAATTTCTTCAAACCGATTTTACATCAGAGTTAAGCCATATATAAATTCAAATAAAAACACAGGTAAAGTAAACAAGTCTATAAAAAGCTAAAACAGATATATACCCGAGTGAAGATTTTTTGTATCATTAGATATTACCTGATTTATTTTTTGAAGATTGCTGTAGGAATCTCCTGACTCTCTCATAATGTTACAGAGATTTTTGATATTCAGAAAAGGGAATTCATTATTGAATTGCACTATTCCCATAAAAATTGCTGCTAAAATGTTGACAAAGACCTTCTGGTCATTTGGCTCAGAAAGTGACCCACAGGACAGGAAATCCTTTGCAAGCCCTTTGGTTTGTTGGCCACTGACCATTCTGTCTATTTTCTGGAAGGCCTCAGCTACTTGTGCAGTACACTAAAAGAACAAAAGCATTTAGACTGCCTTTTATGAATCGGACCTAATTCTGGATGGTTACTTGTCTGTAACTGCAAAAAATAGCTATGAAAGCAAAGCCAATATATTGCATGTACATAATCATTAAAACTGGCCAAAAACTGGCTGGTTTTTGAATTTTAGTATTATTTTACACAACATTTTTTCCAACTATAAAACATAAGATTCATGCTTATTTGCAAACGTGTACGCTCCTTTGACAATTACTGACAAACGAATGATAAACAGGACCACATCATATTCTAGTGTAAAAGGAAGGGAAGAAAATATATGGCTGGACTGGGAATCAAACCTAGGACCCCTGCATCACTAGTCAGGTAATCTACTAATTGAGCTATATCCAGGCTGATATCCACTGCCCAAAATTTCTTGGTTAAAATTTTCTTAGTAGGAATCGGGTAGAATTGAGTACTTGTCATATATTTATGTCTAAAATATATTTATATAAATATTTATAATAAAGGTAAACAGAAAGCTTACCAGGAATCCAGGAATTTTACATAAAGTAATACTTTAAATAATACTTCTAACATATGGCAAAAACAGTCCTCTACAGTATTTAAGGTAAAAAGTGCAGGGGGTCAAGAATTGGCGGGTTTTGTAATTATATATAAGATGCAGAAATTAAAACATGCATATTAATGAGATAAAAATGGACATCAGTCAGTAGTAAAGTCAAGTTAGGTCATCTAACCGGAAACACGTGGACATACAAAAATAAACAATGTCACATCATACACACTAGACACACACAACACAAACAAACGCAGTTGACGTGTTTGATTGGCAATGCGCGCCAATATGTATTTTCAAATTAAAAATATAACATCTGTGACAGCAATTTTCCTCTAAGGAATGAGTCTTACAAGTTTATCTACCTAACTGAAGTTTCAGAAAAGTTCTTTCTCTCTGTTCTTTCTATAGATGCACTGGAAAATAAGGCATGCACTGTGTTCTTTCGTACCTAATTGTATTGTGTAAAATTTTGACAATATCGAACGTGAATATAAACATTATATGTGACCTAATGTTTGCATTTAATTTGATATATATTTAAGTACCTCCGTGGTCTAGGGGTATGATGTTTGCTTAGTTAGCGAGAGACCCGGGTTCAAATCCCGGACGATTCTTTTTTTAATGTTTTTTTTTGGATTTACTAAATGATACTCAACATGTGAAATGAAAAAGTTATGGCGTCTGGCGTGTACAAACTCATAAAATCATTATTACAGTGTCATAAATATTCTATATATCAAAAAGAATCTTCTATACACATGTTAAAGAATAAGCAATCAAATCTTTATATCCATATTGGCATTTTTATTTGCTTCAATATACATGTATACATTTAATAATTCTACAAATCGGGGGGGGGGGATGTGACCCCCCACCCCCGAACTGCACATGCTCTTCTTTTTTCCCTAAGCGGGGGACACAAATTCTCTGAATTAGCTTGTTAATTTAGATTCGTATGAAAGAGAACACTCAAATAAGAAAGTGTGAATGAAAATATTCTATCCAGTCTGTTTTTCAAAACTTTTTTAAAAACAAAAATATATTAGAAAATATGTTAATTTACACCTTATTTTCAATACCATAATGTAAAACAAAAATGGACTTCATTTTATTAATTGACATTGTATTGTAGTGCAGTGCAATAAAATGCAGTTAAATTCTTATTATGGTAAACAGTATAAATTCTCTTGCAAACAAAAAAATCCACTCATCAGTCAAAAAGGAGTGTTCATTTCTTTTGGATCTTTTGCGCATACTGAAACTATTCACTCGATAAAAAAACAAAAACAAAAACAAAAAACAGTAACACATAACTTAGCGAAAGTCCTTCGACTTAATTACTGATTGTTAATTTTGATTCATATCAAAGAAAACAAATATTTAAGAATATGAGAATAAAAGAAATGCTCTCTAGTCTGTTTTTGAAACCTTTTTTCAAAGCATATAATGAAAAAAGTGTGTGTATTCAATCAGGTTTTAAATTCAATTAAGAAAAAAATTGACTAAGTTAATTTTGATTAGACAATTTGGCAGGCATCACAATGTATCGCATTGTATTGCAGCAGAGTGCAGCATGGTGCAATTCTACTTGTATTTAAACAAGTACAATTATTTTTACTTATCAATGTATTAGAAATATTCCCCACCATCCACCCTCCAAAGACAGCTTTTTATATACAATTTGTCCTTGTGATTGAATGTTTCTTTGGAAATTTGCATAATGTAAGTTTTGTTTCAAAGTTCGATAACTCAAATTATGTCCCTTTGAACAACGTAGACAAAACGATCATTAATTTCTGCTTTATATTATGTAAATGTTTAAGCAATGTTATCGAGTAACAGGCTTGTATACTATATATAAGACGTTAGAAAGACATTCACAAATGACCATGTGTTAAAGTCAGAGTAAATAACGGTTACGGCTAATGTCGCGTGTAAAGGACTTAGTGTGAGCTTATCTCACTAAACAAGTACTGCTAAGCAGTATTGAAAGGCGTCTTTGATTGTTCTACAAAGTCATCGGCGCTTGTTTGAGTCTCAAAATATTCACTCATCAGTCAAACAGGAAAGTTTTTTTTCACTGTTTTGCCTAATAATAAAAATTGACCAAGTATGTTTTTATTATACATTCAATCAAGCATTACAATGCAATGTATTGTAGGACAGTTATATTTTTATTTAAAAGCAAACTTAATTAACTTGCAATTAAAGAACTTCACTCGACACTCCAATTTTCCTCGGGATATTTCGCATATATCCATATCAGTCTTTCAACTTAGAACTTAAGGCTAAAACTACAGATCTAGAATCTCGTCTCGATGATTTGGAACAATATTCCAGAAAACCCTTTTTAAAATTTTCCGGAATTCCGGAGAGAGACAATGAAAACACAGACGAGATCACTTTAAACATAACAAATAAATTAGTACTACCAGTAGGTGTCGAGAAACTGCACAAATTTGCAATCAGTACCTCCGACTTGGCCCACCACGCCAGGATAGACCGAGGGATATCATAGTTCGGTTTGTACGGTATAATGACAAAGCTACAATTTACAAAAACAAATCCAACCTTAAAGGGTTCAACACAAATCAAGACAATGGTTACAAAATTTATATCAATGAAGCCCTTATTCAGCAGCGTGCAATCCTATATGCCAAAGCTAGACAGGCGCTGCGAAACCAGATAATAAAGGGATGCTGGACCACAGACGGCAAAATTTACGTCAAAACAAACGATGACAAAAGAGTGACTATAAGGTCACAAGATCACTTAACACTAACGAACAAGTGAACAGTGACTGTGAAACAGACACGGACGAAACAAGCGAACCAGTTATCAGTGATCAAACCAAACGTAACTCGTTCTCCGACGTTTTAAAAAATAATAAAGACGAACCGGTGGACAGCACAAGAGCCGCCGATACAGCCAATTCCTAGATATGTATCAACCATCAACCGTTGTATCACAAAATTAAACATTTCATCAGTCCAATTACAGATATACGTGGGCAATTCACAGATATAACTATATCAATCCCAGTTAATTTAAAGTATATAATTCACTTATTACGGACCCTTGTACATAATTATATCAGTTTTGAATGTTGCATGTCATTACGTTGTCTTATATCCTGATATATTGTCATGTATTGTTTGGGAACTCACTTGTAGATGAGTCGCTTCCCAAACAAATTTGTATTGTAGATTTTCTTTTGTTTTTGTTCATATTTTTTCTGTTTGTATGTGAAATGCTGTTTATTTGTTTCCAATTTTCTGTTTTTAACACATCTACTGTTTCATATATCTACAACTGTCAACACATTTATTACAAACAAACAAAATCAACTCTTAGACCTTACGCATATCGTGTACATTTTTTACATTATTTTCGGTTTTGCGGCAAATTCAATGTCCTTAGAACTGACATTATAGACAATGGGTAACAGCATAGAGCAATATCGCGCCGCAATTGGAACTTTTTACTTTGTGTGTAGGTGTGTAACTTGCTCGTCAATCTTTGTTTTTCTTACACTGCGTGATATTTTGAACTTATTCCAACAAGTGACTCGAAAATGTCTGTTGAAAAGTTTTTATGTTGGTAACATTCTGTCTATACACATAACTTTTTTCATGCAATTTTTTGCTTTTATTTTGTTAATATCTGGTGATATAGAAACAAATCCAGGCCCTATTTATGACAGTGTTCTTGACATTTTACACCTAAATACTCGAAGTCTCAGGAACAAAATTGACCCACTTAAAGCCATAGTAAATGAATTTGATATTGTGTGCTTTACTGAAACGCATCTCGACGACAACATTTTGAATAGTGATATTTATTTAGACGGTTTTAATTGTATTTTTCGCAAAGATCGAAACTCTTTCGGAGGCGGAGTCGTTATTTACACAAGTAACAATATTCGAGCTCATAGACGAATGGATCTTGAACCTGTCAATATTGAAGCTATCTTGTTAGAAATTGATAATCCTACCTCTCAACTTTTCTTATGTTGTGTCTACCCGACCGTCCTCCGCACGCAGATTCCACTTTTTGGAGAAACTTTTCGTGGTCTTTAGACAAAATAGGTGAGCTTTCTGACAAAATCATAATTGTTGGCTATATAAATGTTGATCTTCTAAGCACTCCTCACACACATATCATATATGATATAATATCCAATTGTAATCTTATCAACAGAATCAGCGAGCCAACGAGAATCACGAATTCCTCTTGAACACTTATTGACCCATTGGGTATATTCGATTAAGCGACACGAGTTACACGAGTTACTAGAGTTGTAAATAAAACAAGACATCTTCGACACGGGTGACCAACTCGTGTTACGCGAGTATACTCCTCAGTTTACCTGGAGTGACAGGTGAAAAAAAATGGCGGGAAGTGAAGACGCAATGTAAATGTGAAAACTTTTCTGCATAAATTTG